TATACAACTTTGTGAATATATTAAAATATACTAAATGCCATTGAAGTTTACCCCTTAATGGGTGAATTGGATGGTGTGCGAATTATATCTCAACAAAGCTATCTAAAAAATAGTGCTTTGGGCAAGATTGTTAAAAAAGTATACAGGCAACAAAGATATATGATGGTCATGGATCTAAATCCACAAATAATATAGAATTTTAATTTTTAAGGTTCTTCACCTGACCAAAAACAACAGTTCCAATCCAGGTGTCACAACCTTCTGAATCATCTCAGAAAGGCTAAATTTCAGGACCAACCTGATTCTTTTGAGGAAGAAAACAGAAAAGTTTAAATAGCACCCGAGGGCACTCAAAGCAGCTAAAGATTCATATAAAAGGAAGTCTTTAATGACTCAAACCTTCCCAGGTAATGTGGGAGACACTGTGAAGCCAGCAGGCGCTGGGCAGAGAGTGCAGATTTCTCTGGGTTCTAGGGATGGAGCAGCACATAAGAGATTCCATCCACTGCAGGGGACCAGTTGGACTCTCTACAGTTAATCTCTCTCCCCTTTGCTTACATTAAAAATTAGAAACAAAAATAATTTTCATAAGTTACACAGAAATGATTATATAAAAAGTCATACAAACACTGAATGACATAAGTCTATAAGGAAGCCTGCAATGATGGAGACAATTCACACAGAGCCTCTAGCTTCTCCTGATCCCTGAGCAGAAACTGGAGAGAAATGGCAATTTCTTCATGGAGTTTAGGGCAACAGACTCCATGTGAGGAGAACTCCATATGTGCTAGATGGGATGCAGTTTCTTTTACTTCTAAGGAATGCTTTCTTTCTGCCCATACCTTCAGGGAGGGCTTTTCAGTAGTCTGCAGTTTATATTTGTGTGCAGGATTGGTTTGAGAGGTGCTGCACCCCAAAACATGGAACCTGCAGAGTTTCATTTTGGAAACATCCTTTTTTTTTTTTTGATAAGGAAATTTTAAGAGCAGGTGTATCCTATCTCCAGACAGAAGCATTCAAGCTTCCTGCTTCTTCCTCTTTTCGTGGTGTTGGAAGTTGCAAAGGAAAGCTATGCCTGAGGTTTACCGACCCAATTCTGGTCTCAGAGATGTCCTAGAGTAATATTTTCTACTTCCTATCTGTCATCCTCATGCCCTTTTCGAAAAGCTAGTGTGGAGAATTGGGTCTGTGGGGTTGTGTGGCTAGGCTGGAGTAGGTGAGAAAGAGACCAAGTTTCACATGTAGAGCAAAGGACAGAGGCCACTGATGCTGGTTGAGTGGGAGGAGATGGAGATGTCTCATGCACTGCCCTTTCTATATCACCATCTCAAGCTTAGCTGTGTTTTGTCATAGCTTCTTCCTCACTTAAATGAAATTTTGCTGGTGGGTCCAGTTCTCTGTATGGCAGTTTGGTAATTTTATGAAGTACGCTCATTTGGAACATATATAGTAGATATTTGGATCAAAAATACAGGCAAAAGGAAATTAAAAGTTGGGGTTCAGCTTACAGAAAGCTACAGCCAGAAAAGAATAAAACACTTCATTAATAAAAACACAACAGTCTGGCTTCATATGTGTTTGGGGTCTATTTGCTCTTAAATAATGGTCACTGAACAAGAATGTGCTCTTTGGATGCAATTTTACAAAAAGAAAAAAGAAAGAAAGAAAGAAGAGGAGGAGGAAAAGATCGTGGTCAACATGAAGATGTGTTTTACATTGTCACTAAAAACCAAGGGTATCAAAACCTTCTCATTTGAACCACTGTTTATATGTAAATTTATCTGTGAAAATTTTGTTTACTATTTATAGGTTTTACTATTTGAGTAAAATATATTGCAGAAAAAAACACAAAGTACCAAAAGATATCACACAGAAAATGAAACTTATCTAAAACGCATGACCCAAACCCACACTAGTGTTTATTTTCTTTCCACATTGTACTGATCCATGTCTACTCTCCACTGCAAGCCAGTGGGGCTTTACCATTGTGTCCTGAGAACTTTGCTCAGATCTTGGCTTTCTTACAGTGAACTATGCACAATTTTTTGCTGATAACAGAATCATTACAGACATCTATTGTTGTATTATGCTGTAATTACAGCCTTGGGAAATACTGGACATACTTCAGTATCATAAGGGGCAGAGTGTCCCTCCACTTAGCCTGCAGCTGTCATGGTTCTCACATGTTGGATCTCCCTTTGTCTCCATATTTATAAACCATCCCCAATTCCATGCTCACTTCTAGCTCCCCAGCTCACATCATTTCTAATCTGACCTGTACCCATACATTAGAAAACAAACTTTGCTACACATTATGATCATAGAACTTCCCTGCCTTAAAACCCTCGGCTCTAGGAACAAAAGGCCAACTCCCCATCTGGCCACAGATCTATTACTTTAGCTCTTCCTCACAACTCCCACCACCACCCACCTCCAAACTTCTTTTTGGTTCTCTGTGGTGCTTTCCCCTCCCACATACCCTCCTTTATTAATTTCCATTCATCTTTCAAATGTCCATACAGGTCACTTTCTGGGGAAGCTTTCTTTGCTCCTCAAACTAGGCCAGATCACCCAGTACATATTGGGGTAGTAGGTTTCCTGCGCAGGTCTTCCCAGGGTGTAACTGTACATTAGTGCGAGAGTGCACGCTTGTGTGTGTGTGTGTGTGTGTTTTCATATGATAAAGGTCTGGTTCCTGACTGTTGTATCCCCAGAACCTAACAGCTGTAGAAGTCTGGTTCAACATATATGTTTGGAGTGCCTACATCCACCAGACATTACTGTAAGCCTTCATTTTGATGGAGGTGCCCTCATCCAAATATGTGAGGCATAGATGTATTAGGACTTACTAATAAGAATGACTGCAGGGTGTAATGATTTATTCATAATATCATGTCACAAGCAACAGAAATGTTTAATTGTATGCCAAGCAAAATTTAATGAAATGGCAAGCTTTGAATACATCCTTAGGATAACGATTTGTAAAAGCCATGGGAACACTGTTCTTAAAAGAAACATACAGTTTGTAAAGCCAATATTCATTAATCATCTTATATTCCTTTCAAGTTATATTTTAAATCCGTGTTCTTCAGTATCAAGTTTACTCGAGAACTAAACATCCCTAAAATCTCCTCCGTAAAGCCTTCCATGTACGACGACTATGATCTATACCCTGTATGGAAGGCAACTGAGACGCAGGGGCAGTTACTGAGGGTTGAACGTGCCCAAGGGCCAGACCAGAAGGGCCCAGACCCAGCCTTGTCTCTCCTTCCCACCTGGTGCCTTCCCCACCGCTGCAGCCCCGCGATCACACCCCGTCTCCCCAGCGCAGAGGCCGGCGGCCTACGAAAGGATACCGGGACTCCTTGCGCCCGCGCCGGAGCCAGGCTCCCGGAGAGACCGCGCGTGTTCCGCCGCCTCCTCTGCGACGCTCGCGGCTCGGCCGGGCTGGGAGGACGCTGGGACCACGGCGACGGTCGCGCAGGCCGGTGCTCGCCGCGCAGAGCCGGTGTGTGCAGAGGCGGCGCGGGCCGGGACTAGACAGCGCGGTGCGCCGGTGCCACCGCCCTCCCGCGGCGGCCACCGCCCGCGCGCCCCGCGCACCTACCGAGGCCCGGCGGCCCGGGTCCCCGCACCCGCAGAGGATGGTCCAGGCCTCCTCGCCTCCAGGCTCCCTCCTCCCTGGCTCCGGCGCCGGAAGACGTGGTTTGCCGCAAGGGGGAGCGCGTGGAGGCCGAAGTGACCGTCACCAACCTGTCCGGGGACCCTGGGACTTTTGGGGCTAAAGATTCCGGGGCGGATGGGAAGCGGGCAGTTACTGCCCCCGGGCGAACAGCAGAGCCCCCGGGTTCCGGACGTGAATGGGAGTTTATGTTCCTAAGGACAATGGCGAAAAAACAGAAGAACCCCCTGCCTTGCTCCCCAACCAGACCCGCCTGGGCGCATCGAGCCACCCGGCCCATTTGGGTTTTCGGGTAGCTCAGAAGGGTCCAGGGAGGGAAACAGGCAGAGGGGGCGGCGCCCGGTTTCCAGCTGATCCTGAGGCCTCCCTAGTCGCGCACCCGCCACCACTTTGGCGGCCCAGGCCGGGTGCGGGCGCGCAGCGGGAGGGGACCGCCACCGCGAGCTGGGTGCCCCGGGTCCTGCCGAGCGTGGCGTGGAGACCAGAGCTGAATAGTGGTCACCGGTGTCTATTGGGCACTTCCAAATTGAGCTTTGTTCCCGAAAGGACTCGTCCTTTCTACCCATGGTGCTTCTCTCTCCCTCTGCGACCCTACTCCTTCCAGGAAGGACAGGCATCAATGCAGTCCATTCGGACGCGACAGAACTCCGGAGAGGCTAGACCTCTCTCAGCCAGGGAGGCGATGAAGGCTCCTAGAGCGTTCGGGCGGCAGCAGGCCCCGCCGTTGTACCCCGAGTCCCCCCCCGGAGTGCCAGGTGTGCGGGGGGCGGGGCGCACTGCTGGAGGTCACCTCGACTCCTGCCCACTCCCCAGTGTACCTCTGGTCAGTGCAGCCGGGTTGGGTCGCTGCGGCACTCGTGGAGCCCCGCGCCGGACCCGGATCACAGCTGCCAGCACGCCGCCAGCGATGCGCCTCGGGTTACCCTGGGGCTGGTGTCTCTGGTCCCATTGGAGCGCGCCAGGGCAGCACTTTGGACTGCGATGGCCGGCCACAGGTCGTCAGACATCAGTGACAACACCTTCCTTTCATCCCTCCTTTTATATCTAACCTTTGCACGTGCTGAGGATGTGGTGACCAAAGAAATGAAAAATCTTAGCTGTGACTCCAGACCCTTGTGCGCCTCTATTGGACATCTGTAGTGTTTATCTGTTCCATGAAAGCCACGACCAAAAAGTAAAATATGGATGAGAGTTGGTTTAAAAAAAAAAAAAAGCGGGGGAGGAGGGAGGAAGGGGGAGAAAAGGAAGAAAGAAAGAATCTGGCAGGATTTCCGCTAGTCCTGCCGCGAACTACATATCCCAGGGAGCCTGGGGGGCCGGGCCGCGTGTCCACTCTGCCATCCACTTGGAGAAGCCCTTACTCAGCCTGGCCCCGCGGCAGGCCAATCCTCTCCCCTTGTACCTTAGCTGGAACCTGGAACGGATTCGCCCCCCAAATGATGCTCCAACAGCAAAAATAGCACAAGTTTATAGTTGCCCCAAGAAAGAGAAGCAGCGCGGTTCTTGCCGGTCTTAGTGGAACGACTAGCATCCTTAACCTGGACATGCCAGCGCTCCGGTTGTGACTTTGTGGGGACTTGGAGAGTCGAGCAAGCGCCTGCCGTGCACATTAAAGGACACTTTCTGGAGCCGCGTTAGCTGCCGCGACCCACCAACGTGCCGCTGCCCAGGTCTCCGCTGGTGTCGTCCCCTTCTTACACGTCTGCATTTATCCGTGGATCATCTCGAGAGTCCGACTTGTAAATGTTCAGCATTTTGCTGCTTTACTGCTTTTTTCTGGGGACGGTTCCAGCACTTGCCGAGACCGGCGGAGAGAGGCGACTGAGCCCAGAGAAGAGCGAAATATGGGGACCCGGACTAAAAGCAGATGTCGTCCTTCCCGCCCGCTATTTCTATATTCAGGCGGTGGATACATCAGGGGATAAGTAAGTCAAGAAACCACTCTTCAACTATTCGGGATTGCGTTAAGACTTTTTGTTTCTTCCTTTGTTTCTCATCCACCCCAAAACTCGCTTCTCCACAGCAGTTTTACTCCAGGATATTTGGATGCTATGCACATCTGGATTCCCCTTCCCAGTCAACTTTTCTCTGTAGCTTTAGAAATAATTAGGAATTGCAATATGTAATATAATAATAGCTCTTCTCTTAACTGTTTTGATAAGTATTCCCGCATTATCAGGGCAAAACAAAGCTCCTACTCTTTGCTGGAAATGCTATTTCTAACTACTTTTTGCATAATCTGTTGTAAGGAATTAAGTTCGGTTGTTAGAAACTTGATTGGCTTCAGCTTTCTGTGGTGCTGCCCTAGAGTTTCAGGTAGACATGGGCGGGTAAGCATGTTTTAAAACCCAGTAAGAAAAACTAACTACTATCTAACATTTTAGAATTTAGAGGAAAAGTTTGGCAGTACAAAACTCCTATATGAGTGTAACAGAAATCTGTTTCATTCCAATGAACTCTATACTTTAAACTTATATTTATGTGCATTTTATAAAAAATATATTAGGAATAAAATATTTTCCAGGGGTTAGGAGTGCAGCTCAATGGTAGAGTACTCACGTATCATGTGTGAGGCTCAGGGTTCAAACCCCAGAACTTGGGGGGGGGGGGGGATTTTTCTAAGGAAAAATAAATCTGTAAATTTTGTCATTTGGCTATAAAGAGTACAGTTGGAGAAACAAATACCACCTCAACTCCAAGAGCACTCACTCCACAAACACTTTTATTTACAAAGATGGTATACTACCTACCTTGCTTTTGCCCACACCTGGGCATGATTTATAATTCTGATATTTTTTAAGAATTACTGAGAGTTATTTTTCAAAATAAGGTCATCTTTGCAGGCACACCATTGGATCACAGATTTTCTGATGTGACAGACATGAAATAAATAGCAGACTGATGCTGTTATCTATAAAATTATAAATATTTGCATGCTTACACACATCAGTAATCTTAACATATCCCTTTGTCAATGTCTAATGAAACTTTTAAAAATTATTTTTATTGTAGATGGACACAATACCTTTATTTTGTTTAGTTTTTTTCTTTTAATGTGGTGCTAGGGATTGAACCCTGTGCCTCACATGTGCTAGGCAAGCACTCTACCACTGAGCCACAACCCCAGCCCTAATGAAACTTTCATGTTATTTTCATCATTGTCTTCCTCTTTATTTTTTAAATTGTTGATCCATCATATTCATTCTGGCACTGAAAGCATAAAAGAGAAGAAGCAAGCATGTTAGAGGAAGAATGTGGAGAACAGAAAAAGTTTACTGATTGAAGAGCATAATCATTTGTTGCTTATTCCTTAAAATAATCTCTGTATCTCATTGTTCTTCACATCACAGATTCACATCTTCTCCAGGTGAAAAGGTGTTCCAGGTTAAAATCTCAGCACCAGATGAGCAATTCACAAGAGTTGGAGTCCAGGTTTTAGACCGGAAGGATGGATCCTTCATAGTGAGATACAGAATGTATGCAAGCTACAAAAATCTGAAGGTAGAAGTTAAATTCCAAGGTCAACATGTAGCCAAATCTCCATATATTTTAAAAGGTAATTTGGAACAGAGTTTTATAACAGTAGTACTGAACACAATAATACATGTCATTCTATCTACAAAACAACTTGGTGTATTTTTTTTTTTCACTGAAAGACAAAAGATGTGTCCTATCTGAAAGATAAGGTCGGAGTCTTGGTAAAAGAGAGAAATCCAAGATATGAGTAGAAATTGTAGTTTGCTAAAGAGCAAGGAACATAATTAGAGAATTTTCTGTCTGAAAACATAATATTAGCAAGAATAATCAAGCTGTATATATGATCCTATATGGTATTTTGTTAATTGGAGATAGAAGATGTTATATAACTGATAAGAGTTATTGAAACTTGGTAGACCACTTTAGGAAGGAAGATGGCTTAACGCAGAGAGGGGGAGTTGACTATTGTTTTTTGTCATTGTTCCAATGCCATTTTTCCAGGGAAATTTTCTGGTGGTTTGTAATATAGGATGAGACCTGTTACCCAGGCCATTCCCTCTCAGAGGAGGCAGGACCCCAAAACACTGGGGAAGCATTGTATATAACAAAAACATCCCAAGAAAGGTAACGTTTCTTTAAACGTCTAGGTTCCTTTCCTGCCTCCCATCAGGACCATGTGGTACCGAATAACCTGCTAAACCTAAAAAAAAAAGTACTGTGGGCTGGGTTGTGGCTCAGCGGAAGAACGCTTGCCTAGCAAGTGTGAGGCACTGGGTTCAATCCCTGGCACCACATAAAAATAAAATAAAGGTACTGTGCCCATCTACAACCAAAAAAAAAATATTTTAAAAAAACCAAAATACTGCATTCTCAGTCCTCCCCGAATCAGGTGGGAGTCCGAGGATTACAGAAAGTAATGACAGTAAAAATCCATTCAGATTCTGCTACATGATGTTAGTATTATTTCTATAAATGTGTAATTAACTCATCATAATATTAATGAAATAGACTGCTTTGAGGATTACCTTTGCAAATTTGTATTTCTTTTTTTTTTAAAGAATGGCAGAGGTTCTTTGTTTACTTTTGTTGTTTTTGATGATGTTTTGCCCATTGAGAAAAGTACTTTAGAAACTTTAGAAACTCATTTGTATAACAGACCATTGAAATATTAATTCTTATGATTTTTGTCCTTCACTAAAGCAGGTGTATTCCTCTAATATTCTTTTATTAATGTTTGGAGATTCTTCGGTACCCCAAACATAAAGAGCAACCAACTATAATATCCACTGTAGAGGACACATTAGAACCCATCAGCTTTCTTTTGAACTTGTATAAAGTAGACTCGAACATGAAGATGTCACGGGAGTTCATGTTGAAGAGCTGTCAGGAAGAACGCCGACTTATTCAGAATGCCCCAATGTAATAAAAGTGTATTTCTTTTAAATTATGTTTTCAATCCATATGCCTTCCTACTTCACTAGTCAAAATTCAAGAAGCCTGCATTTTGGGTATTTGTTGCATGTGTCAAATACTGAGTAAAATATTCACTCTTGTACTTTGTTTTTTGTGTGTAAATAGGGCCGGTTTACCATGAGAACTGTGACTGTCCTTTGGAGGACAGTGCAGCCTGGTTACAGAAAATGAACTGCCCAGGAACCATTGCGCAGATTCAGAAAGATCTGGCACATTTCCCCACTGTTGATCCAGACAAGATTGCAGTAGAAATCCCCAAAAGATTTGGGCAGAGGCAGAGCTTGTGTCACTACACCTTAAAGAATAACCAGGTACAACACATGATTGAGGTTTGCTTGATCTCCTGATTCTGTTTTGTTTTGACCATTTGGCTACAATTTGCTATAAACAGTCCTATTAATCATCATCCTCGTAGCAATCATTGTGACAAGCTTTTCCTCAGTCAAGTCTGACAGTACTTTTAGACTAATGTAAGAAATGTTAAATTCTCTTTTAGGTTTACATCAAGACTCATGGTGAGCATGTAGGTTTTAGAATTTTCATGGATGCCATACTACTTTCTTTGACAAGAAAGGTAACTATATCTTTTCTCTGAGTCATCATAAGCGATTGTAATCCAGCTTTCATAAAATAATTTTTCAAAATAAAACTAGTAACAGGGCTGGGATTGTGCCTCAGTGGCAGAGCCCTTGCCTCACAAGCACCACATCAAAATAAATAAATAAAATAAAAGGTATTGTGTCCATCTACAACTAAAAAAATATTTAAAAAAAAACACTAATAACAATACCAGGATGTTCTATTCTAGAGTCTTAGTAGAATGATATTCTGAAATCTTTTATAGGCTGCCTGTGTTAGTTTTCAAGACTGCTCTAGCAAAGTGCAGGAGGCTGAGTGCCTTAAACAACACTTTATTCTCTCGTGGTTCTGGAGCTCAGAAGTCCAAAATCAGAATGCTGGCAGGGCCACGCTCCCTCTGAGATTGTGAGGACATTCTTCCCTGCCTCTGGCTGGCTCTGGTGGCCTCAGTCCTTGGTGTTCCCTGGTGTGCATCACTCTGCTCTCTCCTCTCTCCACGTGCCCCTTGCCTTCCTGCGTCTGTCTCTCTTGTCTCTTTTCGTAGGAACATCAGTCATTTTAGATTGATGGACCACCCTCCTCCAGTGTGACCTCATCTTAACTAATTACATCTGCAACGACCCACTTTCCAAATAAGGTCATTCTGATATTCTGAGATTTAGAACTTAAGGATATTTTTTAGGGGAATCAGTTAGACTCGTATCAATGCCTTACAAAGGAAAGAAAATGCCTGTGGTAAAATGATTTTGATACTAAACCCACTTCAAGTCCAAAGAAGATTACCCCTTTTCTGAATCCTGTTCCTTGGCATAATGTGTTTTAATAGGAGCTAGTGGAGTATTTCAACAATACTGTTAAAATGGCTGATATGAAAAATTATACCAACGTTTTTTTACCAATTGTGTATTTATGTAAAAATCTATTACAACGTTTACTTATTGAATCATTTGTGCATATCTTGATTGAATTACTCATGGAAATCCATACTTTTCTTCTCAAGATTGCAAAGCCTATGCAGTCAGTGAATCCTAAATATAGTAGTACTTAGCACCAGTATTATGCCTCCTTTAGGCTAAGACATTAGATTACTGGCAAATATTCTTGCTTATCTGTGTCCATGAGAAAAATAAGAATTTTCTTCAGGACTCCAATTTCTCAAGATGCTTCTCAGACAAGACCAACACAATTCCTACCTAAACAAATAAATAGGTTTGTATACACCTTGTTTTGCAAATACCCCAAGCATTTTCCATGGCTAATAAAGCAGGTTCTTTCAACATGTTCACAACATTTGTTAGTCAGGGATGCATAGCTTGGAAGCTCCTGTATTGGCCTTTGGTTGGATTTCCTAAATTCAAATCCTGTCCCTACCACCCACCTGGTCTAAAACAGAAACATCTGGCGCATTCACATGAAACTAAGGCTAGAGTCCCAAGTGCTCTAAAAAGAATTCTTAGAGTTGTTTTCTAATGATTCTCTTGTCTTAGCATCTCTTGGCAGCTTTAGAACAAAGATTACCTTTGCCACCTTGTCCTCTTTAGTGAGTCTGTTGGCCAATTTAGACATCACAGAAAGGAAACTTAGAATGCTTATACATGTGACCATATTTGGAAAAGTTACCCACTATTCAAGCTAAAGTCACGATGGCCCAAAACTTATAAGGTTGGCCTTTCATTTGGTGCAATTGCTAATTTTAATTGATGAACATAAGGTAGTATGCAATGCAAGAACTGCCAATAAGCTCTTTGTTTTCTTTTTCCTAGGTGAAGATGCCAGATGTAGAGTTTTTTGTAAACCTGGGAGATTGGCCTTTGGAAAAAAAGAAGTCCAGCTCAAACATCCATCCCATCTTTTCCTGGTGCGGCTCCACAGATTCCAAGGATATCGTGATGCCCACCTACGACCTGACGGACTCTGTTCTAGAAACCATGGGCCGGTGAGAGTCGAGTCGGGTTGACCCAGCTGGGCGTGCTCTCTTGGGTGAGTTCTTTCCTCCTGCCTCTGTGGTGTGACGGTTTGGGAGGGAGCCACGCTGCCCTTTCTGTGTTCTAGAGTAAGTCTGGATATGATGTCTGTGCAAGCCAACACGGGGCCTCCCTGGGAAAGGAAGAACTCCACCGCCCTCTGGAGAGGGAGAGACAGCCGCCAGGAGAGACTGGAGCTGGTCAAACTCAGCAGGAAACACCCAGATCTCATTGATGCCGCCTTCACCAACTTTTTCTTCTTTAAACACGACGAGAGCCTGTACGGCCCCATTGTGAAACACATCTCTTTTTTTGATTTCTTCAAGGTATGACATCTGTAGTGACCAATCCTTTCTGCATTCCCAGTTTTTGTGTAAATAGCATTCTGGGAAAGGGGAATCGAAGCCTGTAAATCACAGGGGAGGAGAGAAATGGGTTTGAACAGCCTGCATCTGTTCTCGGCACCCAGCCCTGACATGGAATTATGCACGAGGGAGCTTGGAGTCTGAGAAGAGCTCTAAGTTTTTCCCCAGCTAGCCCTTAAGATAAGCACATGTCAGCTCAAATCCTTTTTTTTATTAATAAGTTCATGTCAGTCATTTTACACGGACTTCTCACCAGAACCAGAGCACGGCAGCAAACTAAAGAAGATAAAAACCAGGTGTCTCTTATCAGGCCTTCTGGTGAGGACTGACTTGAAATGCTGACATTCTGCCTGGGAATTCTGGAATGGCTTTTCACATCCAGAATGTGGATTACTCATGTTTCCCAGGAAGTCATACTTTTTCTAACAGCTCCTTTCCTCAGTGCACAGCGCCCTGCTCCCTAGATCACCGAGGGGAAGAGGAGTGTCTGTAGTCCCCTAGGGTAGAGAGATGGCAAAAGGTAGTCAGCCATCCTCCAGTAGGGAAGGACAAGTGGTGAGCGAACTGTCTGCTCCATAGACAGCCAGATTTTCCTTTGATGGGTTACATGGAGGTAGGTAGACCCAAATAATGCTGTGTGTTGAATTGTCATTGTTTTTTCATAGGCGTATCTCAAAGAAAGGAATGATCACAACTAGAGAGCAAGATGAGCCACCCCTCCTTAGACAGCTGTCACATCATGCCTTGGCTTTTTCCTGCCTGTGGAATTTTCTATAACTTAAGGCGATTGATGACCACAGCTCTGTGGATATTTTTACTCATAGATGTTCTTGCCCTGGAGCTTGTTAATTTCCTTGAGACATTTGGGTGGCCCATCTGGTGTTTCAAAAGTATGGTTAGCATGGCACAGAATGTGCCATCGTTAGGTGCTTATGCCATCCATAAAGAAGTAGAGGAATGACAAAGTTGCAAGTCTATTTTTTTTATGTTGTAGTCTTTTATTTCATTGGCTTCTTCAATATTAGATTTGTTTCTCTCTTTGTGAAATTCAGGACCATATCAAAATAAACATTTGTTTATAGGTGAGCATGTTATGTAATAATAATTACCAAATGACAAAGGCATAGGGCAAAATCTGGCCCCTGCTTTTGCAATTGTATCTGTAGATGGCAGATTGATGTGTGGAATGCGGAGAGGAAAAAAAAGAATGGAAAAATGGGAATTCAGTGGAGGTTCTTATACTCTACTGCTGTTTTGCAGCATAAGTATCAAATAAATATCGACGGCACTGTGGCAGCATATCGCCTGCCCTACCTGCTAGTGGGCGACAGTGTCGTACTGAAGCAGGACTCGATCTACTATGAACACTTCTACAATGAGCTGCAGCCCTGGAAACACTACATTCCAGTTAAAAGCAACCTCAGTGATCTGCTGGAAAAACTTAAATGGGCAAAAGACCATGATGAAGAGGTAAGGTCGGTCTCCTGGAAGGTTTACTCCCACTGTGCCAGATGTCACTGGTAGGTTTGCAACGTCTTGGGCCTGGAGAGTGCTCTGTGTATGCTCAGATACAAAAACGGGAAGCTGCCTGCCCAGGAGTGGTACAGTAGCTCCCTGGAGCAAACACAGCCCTTGATCTTAGATAACTGTCCACTCTGCATGTGAAATGAAAGCTAAGCCTCAACCAGATTATGTTTTCTCTTTTGGTAAGCATTGTCTCTGGAGATACCAGTTTTGCCCTCACAAGTAATGTCAAAATTAAGATGGCCAGTCTGGCAAGAGATGTCACTAACCTTTGTGGAGTAAAATGAGGAATTACAGGAATTAGCTTCAAGCTAATGGCTGAAAACTGTGAAGGTAGTGCATTAATATAGCTGCACCTTGCATTCTCTTTAGGAACTCACTCTTCCTTTGCTTGCTGTATATCTTCTCTCTCCACGAGAGGTTTAACTCTAGGAAGCACAATATGACTTCTCAGACTTTCAAGTCTTGAAAACCTCCCTTTAGTTTTGAACAGATAAAGTCTGTTAAACATTCCTTTGTCACATGAGAACCCCCAGGGCTATGCTTCCTGCTGTGGTCTCACTGTATGTGCTCTGTAGTTTTGGTTGCATATGTCTGCATAGGAAAAAAAATGCTTCATGAAAGTTTGTTTGTTTTTTTTTTAATTTCCAAGGCAAAGAAAATAGCAAAAGCTGGACAAGAATTTGCAAGAAATAACCTCATGGGTGATGACATATTCTGTTATTATTTTAAACTTTTCCAGGTTAGTATTTTCCAAGAAAATAGACATATAACTTAACAACTGGACATGTAGAGAGGCAAATAAGATTTAACTCACTTAATTTCTAAAACTATATTAATATAATGTACCTTTTAACAATTTCTAAAAGTATATTAATATAAGGAGATTCATGTACTTCTTTGGGTGAAAATCGGGACAAATACTAAGTAGTAATAATACATACTTGAAAAAAATGAAGCTTAGCTGATGGAAAATATTACAACATCAAGTGAAAGAACAAACATTAGAACTATGTGGCATATGATTAGGGAACGGCAGAGTTACCATACATGGTTTGTATTTTCTCTTTGTATTATGTTGCTGCTGCCTTGTCACTTCTTTGTGTAAACAGCTCAAAGTATGTGTTTGGGACTCTTGTCATGACCCCCCCATTGGGCCAGGAATTCTCTTGGAAATTATTTCCACAGACTTAAGCATTTAGGGATTATAGTCAAAGCATATCTGACAATTTCAAGGCTCATTAGAAAACTAATACAGCAGTAAAGATGTCATTTGCTAATAATAGCATTAGATCTAGATTAAGCTTTCTATCTGAGAATTGTACATATTGAGCCCCATACTGTAGGCTCTGCTGCAAAGCAAAGTTGATCTGTATCTGATCTGAACTGGCCCCTCCTGTTCTGAAATCTTCCCTACGAGATGATGAAGCAATATAGAAGAAAAAATGTTTAAAATGAATGAACTGGGGGGATTCAATCTGAATATCCAAAGATCCACTGGGTGGTGTTAACATCAGTGTTTCGCATGGTGCCCGCCCCAGGGTGAGAATTAGTGAAGAGGATACTGATTGAGGCCGGGGCAAGCCATGGAGGGGCAGGTAGAAATCTGTCCTCAGATTCTTATTCTAGGGCAGATCATGTGCAAAATTGTTTTCACTTTAAGGCAGAAGGTGGTTTAAAAAAAAAAGTCATATAAATTAGGAATAAAATAATGGCCATTTAGGAACAGACAGCCAGAGTTTAAAGAACTTCAGGACTCACACTCTGTTGTTGGGCATTTTGGGGATTACAGGGGACTCTGCACATCAAATTTTTACATACACATGTGAGTAAAGTGAATCTCGGTCTGCAAATTCCACTGTGTCTTATTTGGTGAATGCACTTAAAGTGTTGCATAAGGGTTGTTTTTCTATTGTCACTCATCAGGAATATGCCAACTTACAAGTGAGCGAGCCCCAGATCCGAGAGGGCATGGAGAGGGTAGAATCACAGACCGAAGATGACCTCTTTCCTTGTACATGCCATAGGAAAAAGGTAACAGAACAGACCCTGTGGCCAGCAGCAATGTAAGAGTTAGGGTTGATCCAAGTTTACACCCATCCCTCTAGTCATTCAATCAGGCAACAAACAGTTTAATTCCTCCTGAAGCCTCCAAGCAACTTAGTCTACTAGGAAGATGGTTGTAGTAGATAATAACATTGTACAAGAAAATGTGCAGTTAAGTGAGGAGCCAGAATAGCTCTGGCAAAGCTGAGCGAAGCCTTTTTCAACATGAGAATTCAGATCACATAGCATTTGAACAGATGTTTGCAGTTTGAAAAGTATTTTCACATGGATCATCTGATGCCCTCATCTCCCCATGTGATGGGTTTGGCAGAGGTCATCATTCCATTGCAGAGATGAAAAAAATATTCAACCATAAGTATTCATGCTACAGTATTTAAAAACAATCTCTGTTGATGCCACTACATGATGACCTCATTTGCAAAGTTCAGATTCACATATGGACTTGTAAGGCTTGAAAAGATAGAAGTCATACAGTGATTGTCTTTGTTTTATGGTTAGCAAAACTGAGCCCATAGAGGAATTTAGCTCAAAATTATCTAGCAGAAGTATAGCAAAACAAAACTATCTCGTGATCAAGTAATGCATTTTTGTACATGGAGGCGTAGTGTTGTTTTGATTATAGTTGAATTTTTGTGGGGAGGAATATAAATTACAGTTTTCTGCATTGCTTATATGTTTGTGTGTGTGTAAATATGCTGGCTAGACATTATTTTAAGCATAACAATTTTGTTTCTGAATGCACAAAGTCAAAGTTGTGGTATTATAACCCAAAATGGGAAGGGAGACTTGGCATCGGTTATGTCAGCCTCTCAAAGATGTTTAAAAGCAATAAGGTGACCACTGGCCCCAGTGATGTGACAGAACCAGCTCATGTGAGCTCACCACCTATTGGTATTCAGGAATTTCACACACTAGTTAAATTTTTGCTACCTTGGAATCATTCTTTGGGGGAGTGTTTGTACCATGACAGTCAGCATACCTTTTGGTTTTGTTTTTGGAGAACTGATTTACCACTAGCTCACTGACCCTCAAGTGGTACAGAATCAGTGGTGACCTCTGTCAAGGCCAGGAAATCACTTCAAGTCAATGTGGCACAGGAATTGCAAATCAAAAGGTTCCCCTCACCAAATTTGTGATTTAGGGTTATGACATTTCCCACTTTGGCTCCAGTGGAGACTGTAATGTTCAATTTTTTTCTTTATCTGTGAGTGAGAGGAGGTACCAATCAGTATCTTCCACTGATTAGTGGAAATTAGTGACAGGATAATAGCTTTGTTCATATTTTGTTCTTTGTCTACGCCAGCCCTTCACTGATTCTGTTCCTCACACAAGACCTTAACAGTAGCACAGACCCGTGGAAGTTTGGGTTCCCCACCAGTAGCCCTGTGAAACACAGTGTGATTTGCACTGGGGATGATTCTGATCCTCTGGAAATAGTTCTGGGTCCTAAAATTGTGGAGCAGAAACTTGGTTTTTTTCTTCCTCTCCCCTTTAGGAGAGAATAAATAATTGATTCATAAAAACTTCTTGATGGCTCTTCATATGTTGCTTCTTCATTGCAGACCAAAGATGAACTCTGATATGCAAAAATACCTTTCCTTCAAATAATGGTGCTCTGAAGACTCTTCTCAGCAGAAAAGAAGAATATTTTTTTAAGTATTAATTCCCCAATATAAAATCTGTTGTGAGATTATGTGCATTATGAAGATTTTTCTACTATACATCATTCCCCTGACTGTCCTTTAAAGCACATTTTTAGAATTTTATAATAAATGCATCTTTATTTTAAAGGCCCTTGCTGTGCTATCACTAGCTGTATCGGGACCAAGAGCAGAAAGAGGGAGGGTGAGCTTGACGCAGCAGCCTTGCCGCCTCCCTGTCTTCACCTACATGACCAAGCAACAGACCTGTCTCCTTTAAACCACTGCTCTTTTGGAAATTCACTCACTCACAGCAAACCTAATCCTAACTAATGTGTCACACAAGGCCTCTCTTAATCTGACCTCTCCCACTTCCTAATGCTACCTGAGGCCTGATAAAACCATTCCTCTCCCTCTTCTGTCAATGCCTGTTTCCCTACTGCCCTGGTATTTGCTTTTCCCTTGGTCTGGAATGGCAGGACCCACTCTTCTTTGTCCAGCGTTGACATCCATCAGTATTCCCAAGGTCACTAAGCCAATGCCCTGTGTTATCTTCTGTATCAGTTTTCTTGGGCTGCCTCAGCAAACCTCCATAAACTTCGTGACTCAAAACAACAGAATTTTTTTTTTCCTCTGGAGGCCAGAAGTCTGAATTCAGGGTGCCAGCTTCCTTCTGGAGGCTCTGAGGAACAATCTCTCCCAACAACTTCCTTCTAACTGGTGGCATCTGGCAGTTCTTAGAGTGGCACTCACCACTGCCTCTGTGTGTCTGTTTTCCCCTTTTCTGTCATTGAAAAGATGTCTGTCATTAGACTTAACACCCATACTAAATCCAGGATGATCTCATCTCAAGAATTTTCATATTTGCAAAGTCTTCTTTCTAAACGGGGTCACATTTCATAGGCACAGAGGTTAGGATCTGGACATATTTGGGGAGGCCATTCTTCAACATCTCCTAAGAACATTTCCTTGAAATCAGGAACAACATGAGAATTCCTACTCACACTCATCTAACATAGTGCAGGAGGTGTAAGCCAACAGTACTGTCCAGAAAAAGAGAGTACAAGAATTAAAAAATAACAAAGACAGTTGGCATTAAAAGCTGATGAAACACTATAGTACACACAAAATGCAGACAAATCTATGGACAAATTGTTAGAATTAACAAGAAAATTTGGCATTTGCTGGATACAAACCCAGCATACAAAATTCATTTGCATTACAATAGACCAGCTAGTAACAGAAAATTAAACTAAAAGACATAAAATACAACTTAATAATAGCTTTGAAGACCATGCAGTACTTATTTGAAGAATTAAGTGTAACAAAAATAGATAAGACAATTTTTGAAAACAAATTAATTAAATTGAAAGATACAGGCAAAATTAATATTAATGTTAATTCTTCCCTATATAGAATCAATATAATACTAATAAAAAAATTTGCGCTGCCCGTTTTTTTTTTTTTTTAAATTTTAGTTGTAAATGGACACAATACCTTTACTTTATTTATTTATTTTTATGTGGTGCTGAGGATCGAACCCAGTGCCTCAGATGTGTGAGGCAAGTACTCTACCACTGAGCCACAACCCCAGCCCTGCCCTGCCCACTTTGTGTGAAACTTGACCAATTTCTAAATATTCATGTACCTGTGAAAACCAATCGTTCTTGAGGAAGAATGAATTGGGAGAACTTCCCATACTATATAGCAAGATGACTTATGATGCTATAATATTTAAGACCTTGTGATATTGGTACACAAACAGGAATAAAAAACCAGAACAATACTGGAATGTTAAGGCATAAACAGGCCCTTGTTTATGTGGACACAGTCTGGCATGGAGAACTCAGATGTTGGAGAAAGAGTGTGCTTTTCACTGAAGGGAGCTGGGGTGACTGGATTCTCACATGGGGAAGAACACTTGGGTCTAGCACATACTACATCAAAGATGCGTTCCATGGGCTGAGGTGCAGCTCAGTGGGAGAGCACTTGCCTAGCATGTGTGAGGCCCTGAGTTAGATCCCTTGTACCACAAAAATAAATAAAGAACAATTCCACAAGATTAGTGACAAAAGGCAAAACAATATTTTTTAAAACTGGCATAGAGGATGTCTCCTCATCTAACAGTACAAACTGCAGCAGCTGAAGTAGTCAAATATTTTTTTTTCACTTTGTGACTCTAATAAAGTCTTCAGAATTGTTTCTAAAATATAGCAAGTCTCAAAGTTTCTGGAACGTATGTTTCTCATTATACAACTCTTTCGTCCGCCCCTTTGTTTCGAGAGAGAGGCCATTACAATCTATCACAGTGGCACCACCACAATTGGCCCGTGTGTTTCCTGGACCTGGAGTGACACATTAGCCTAACAGGAATTCCTCAGAGCAAGGCTCCTGTTGTAAAATGAGCGAAAGGTAGGTGTCGACAGGATGGAATTCCTCATCTATCCTGCTTGTCTTACCAATCTCTTAATTCTAAATGGGGAGATGTGAGATTCCAGTGAAGAATTCAGGCCTGACTTTGGCCGTTGAACATTGAGTGTGTGATCTGTTGATGACAACCTTTGGCACATGGCTTCTGTTAGCATCTTTCAAAGTTTGGTGTAGAGAATTGGACTTTCAGTTTGATCATTTCAATTTGGATATAAGAGATTGAGTTGAAAGTTTCATGTGATTATATAAACATACATAAATATTTTCCTCTCCAAATTTTTCCTCCAACTTATTTCTCATTCAACAACACATTTTTTTTTAAAGAATAATATCTTGGTTGGTTGCAGCGGCACATGTCTGTAATCCCAGAATCTAAGGACGCTGAGGTAGGAGGTCCTCAAATTCAAAGTCAACTACAACAACTTACTGAGACCCTGTTTCAAAATTTAAAAAAAATAAAAAGGACTGGGAATGTAGCTCAGCAGTAGAGTGCCCCTAGGTTCAATCTCCAGTACTACAAATAATAATAATAATAATTTGATGGGTAGAGAGATAGTCATGGCTATAAAGAAGTAGCCTAAGGCCAAGTGCAGGGTCCACACCTATAATCCTAGTGGCTCAGGAGGCTGAGGCAAGGAGATCAGTTTGAGGTCAGCCTCAGCAACTTACTATGGCCCTAAGCAGCTAAGTGAGACCCTGTCTCAAAGTAAAAAATAAAAAGAACTGGGGATGTAGCTCTATGGTAAAGTTGAGTTTTTACAAGGGGGTTCAATCCCCTGTACCCCCCCCCAAAAAAAAATAGTAGTTTGATAGATATTCTTGGTGATGTATTATTCTGCATCGTGGTGTGGTGGTGTTTACATGAATGGAGATAAAAATACATAGAATATACACACGTGTCTGATGACAGCAGAATAAACTCTGAGGATTGTTCTAACTTCAGATCCTAGTTCTGATATTACATTACAATTACTGAAGATGGCTACCATTGGGGGAAACTGAACACAGCACCTCCTTGATCATACTTTTGTATATTTCCACAAATCTATGATCATTCCAAAATAAAAAATTTAAAAGATAGGGTTTTTTAAAAAAAATAATTGACAAAATACATGCTCATAATTTAAAGAACTAGCTCTTTCTGATTCCTATCCTTTCCTGAGCAGAACCACCATTATTAGTGTGTAGATTTCCAGGCATTTCTTGGATGTACAAACATGAAGGGGAGGTCTATCAGGGGCCCAGACCATAATGGTTCATCCTCTCCACCCATTCTGTGGGAAGAAGTGTTTCTGCTCCATCAAAAAGAAGGCTGCCTGCCGTGAATTACTGAAGCAAAGGCCATGGGTAACGTAAATTTCTAACATGAAGGAAACTGACACATCACAAACTTTGTCCCCATCCACAGAAGAGTAAATCCCATTTCCCTGTGCTCAACAACTGGGTAATTTCAAAAGAAGAATATTTCATTACTTGTGAAACATATATATTAGATTCCCATTCGTGCTGTGAAAAACCACCCCAAACTTAGTTGTCAAAAACAACACACATGTACTGTCGCAAGGGGGCAAAACTGCGACGTATGCAGTCCAGGGGGAGAAATAAAGAATGTCCACATGCTTCTGCCCTTTTCAATGTTTTATTCATTCAAATCACTCAATACAATTTCACTCTATAGGTTTTTAATCAAGAAAACGACAGGGCTGGGGATATAACTCAGTTGGTAGAGTGCTTGCCTTGCATACACAAGGCCCTGGGTTCAATCCCTAGCATCACAAAAAAAAAAAAAAAAAAAAGAAAAGAAAAAGAAAGAAAGAAAAGAAAATGACAATCCTTAATGCTAAGCACTGCAAGAGACCTAATCAATTCATAGCAAACAATTCTAGATTAATTAATTCACAGCAAACAATTCTAGATTAATTCTAAGCACTGCAAACACACTTAATCACGACAGGCTAATGACAGACATTCCTTCTGTGTGTTAAGTTCAAAAGTCTCAAGCCTCAGGCTTTATGTCCAGCAGATGCACACTCACTCAGACCACGGTGATCAGGTCTGTAACCAAGGCAGGCTTTTCCTGGCGTGGAGTGGACCACCGGTAGAGGAGAGGGTCCTAGGGAGAAGTTATGGCTCCCACCAGTGTCCAGACAGGTGGTAGAGTTTGAGAGATGTGAGCTTCACACAGAGGATCAGGAAAACTATGACCAGTGATGGGATGGCAGGTCCTCATCAGCTCGAGTGTATCCTTGTTTCGGTGGCTGAATCCCTGTTCCTCTGCTCTATTATTTATACTAAACTTTGGGGCTTTTGACACCACCACCCCCCCCTTTCAATCCTTATCAGCTACCACCAGATTTCTCCATCATTTACCCTGGGGTCAGAAACATCTGGTCTGGTGGTCTCCACACTGATCTTCTTACCTCTCCCTCTTATCAGGTGAGGGCAGCCTGCCAGAGGCTTCACTCTGTTTATCAGGGTTGGGGGAAGTAACTTGTTTGAGGCCATCATGGAGGGCTCTGTGGGTGTGCCTGGTGAGACTGCAGGTTTCAAAATGAAATTTTTAAAATGTAGTTGCTTAGGCTCAGGCCTCAGGCCATCCTCACAGTACTTGTCAGGTGCTGTCAGCGATGGCGCCATCTGGAGTCTGGGAGGGGAAAAAACACGCTTTCCTTCCCTCCCTCCTTCCTTCTTTTTTTTGTTGTTGTTTCCTTCTTCTAGAGCTTTATTCTTTACATTTCTTGGTTGGGGATTCCTTCCTCCATCTTCTGGGTCAGCAGCTTATCATCCTCAAATTTCTCTGTCTCTGTTGTCACATCATCTTCTGCTCTGAATGGTTTAACATTATTCCTTAGAGCCAAAAAGTGGAAGCAAGCCAGAAGTCCATCAACTGGTGGAAGGATACACCAAGTTGCATGCACAAATGCGTAGGATTCAGCAATACAAAGAAATGAATTATAAGAAGAAACAGTACCGAGGCAGGCCGCCACCTGGATGAATCTCAAAAACACCCCAAGTACAAGAAGCCAGGTGGGAGACCTCATGTTGTATGACACTATTTACATGGGGTGGCTCGTAAATCTATAGAGAGGAAAGGTCTGTTAGTTGTTGTCTGTGGCTCAGGTTAGGAACGGGGAGTAACAGGATTCATTTTGGGGGTAATAGAAATGTACTTAAATGGTGATTGTTACGAATGGTTACAAAATTACCAGAAATCATTGAATTGTACACTTAAAACTAGTGAACTATCAGGCATGTAAATATTTTTTTTTTTTAAAGCTAGAAGATTAGCAGTCAATTAGTGTTTGTTAAGACCGCAATTTAGGAAAACATTCATGATAAATGACTGTGAATAAGTATTTCCTGGAATTTATTTCCTTATATGTGCTATGACAGAAAAGAGGGCAGCCACCAACTGCACTAGGCTTGGAAATAACGCATTATCTTCAAGAAATATTTCATATAGGGGAGGCTCTGGTTAGAAACACCGCACACAAAACCAGCTCTTTGTGGGGGAGCTCCCCAATGCGGAAGCCCCAGAGCATCAGTGCATGGAGCCCCGTGCATGCATGGAGCCCCGTGCATGCATGGAGCCCCGTGCATGCATGGAGCCCCGTGCATGCATGGAGCCCCGTGCATGCATGGAGCCCCGTGCATGCATGGAGCCCCGTGCATGCATGGAGCCCCGTGCATGCATGGAGCCCCGTGCATGCATGGAGCCCCGTGCATGCATGGAGCCCCGAGCAAGGCCTAGCTCATGAGTAGCAGGTGGGCACGGGCGCCGGGCCGGCCACGCCGCCTGGGCCTAGACGGAGGCCGCAAGGACTCGCGCAATGCTCGCCTATAGACGAGCCCTGGAAGGGCGAGGGCACTAACAAGACCCCAGTCAGGCGACTGTCAAGAATCCGAAGATGGGGCGAGGCTCAGTGTGGCCCAAGTGCGAGAGGTGGCTGCACACTGCTGGTGCAAGTGTGAGAGGTGGTTGCACTCTGCACTTCTGTGTAACCGAGCCAACGTTACTGAGGACTTTACTGAGGACTGTGGAAAGAGACTGGTCAGGGTCGACCCCTGTTTTTCGCCCCAAACAGCTCGCAACAGCACGGATGGCACGGGGACAGACTGAAGTTGAAGCATGGGGAGCCCGCCCTCGCGGCCGCGAGCTCGCCACAGTCGCCCCGCCCACAGCCTCGGCGGCGGGAAACCCACAGGGCCGAACAGGCGGGAGAACGCCTGCTCCCGGCGTGCCCCGCGGGCGGGGGCGTGGCCTGCGCACGCGTGCGTCGTTGCGGACCGCGCTGACGGGGCGGCGAGGCGGTCGCTTCGAGCGTGCTAGCTTGTGCTCTGTCTGAAGAGAGAGAGGGCGGTTGGGCGCCGGTGGCCGCGTTTGCCTTCCCGGGTGAGTGCGGCGGGGCCGGTGGGCGCCGCCACGCAGAGGGCGGCTTCCCGGGGCGTGTGGGCTGCCGGCCGCGGCGGCGGGCGGCGGGTGGAGCGCGGGAGGCGAGCTGCGGCCACTCGCCCGGAGCCGGGGCACCGCGCAGGGCCGCCCGGGGGCTCGGCGGACGGCGGCGGGTAAGTGGGGCTCCCGGGCGCCGCGGAGCCCGCACTCCTCGCGGCTCTCCAGGGACGTGCTCCGGTGTGGTTTTGGGGGTGTGGTGGCCGCGACCTCCGGCGACTCGAGCGCCGGCGTTTTTGTTCGCCCGTGACAGCCGACGCTGCGCGGGAGACGTAACCGTGCGCAAACGTCTTTTAACCGAAAGTCCGGTGCCTGTGGCGCCGGGAGCCCGCGGCGCCGGGTGCGGTAGCGCGTTCTGCCCGCGGCGGCTGTTGGGTGTTCACGGCGGCACCCGCCGCTCCAAACCCTGCCGCGCGCTGCCGTGGTCGCCTCTGCCCCCGGGGTGGGCTGGGCTTCAGCCTCCCGAGGCCGCCCGGAGCTGGAGATCGGGTCGCTGGGGGTCGCGCGGGGCTCGGAAGCCGCCCGGGACGCGCAGCGGCGGCGAAGACGAGCCGAGGCCGGGAGAGGAGGGTCCTGAACCAGCACCAAACCGAGCGGGGAGGGTGCGGGTGACTGAGAACAGGCTCTGCTGAACTTGTCCTGAGACTTCACCAAAACCAAAATAAAAATAAAGTTGTTTTTTTTTTTTTTTCTGAGACATAGACCCGCAGCACTAGAGGGCTTGGGAAAGCTGCCCTCCGGGAATGTCTCTAGAAAGCCGGTTTCTTAGCAGACCGAGCACAGTTCTAACAGCCGTGGGGAGTGCCCTAAAACGGCTCCCTGCGAACCCCAGAGTTTCCCAATGCGCGGGAGCCGGCAGCACCTGCTACCTTTGGTACTGCCAGTGAAGGTGGTCATGCTGCGGTGAGAGGCTTAAACAGAAATTAGGTGTCCAGCTCTCCTTTCCCATTTTACACTCTTGAGTGACTGCGTTTCTTGCTGTTAGAAGACTGCATGGAAGCTTGTCTCTAGAAAGTAGAGGCATTTTGAACCAGGGAACCCAAGGCAGAATTAATTGGAGGGGTACAGTTCGGATAAAAGGATACTGAAGCCTGAATTCTTCCATCGCCTTTTCCCTTTGACCCCCAGAACTTTTGTGGCCAGACTAACAACTCTTAATGCTCAAATAAGAGAATTCTACACACAGAAGGAAAAGTGCACAAGTTGGTCACAGTGATTTCAGTGATTGCTTCTGGGAAGAGAAATAAACTTAGTGTCTGAGGGGAAGAGTGTGAGGAGACCTTACTATGTTTTTGTTATTTTTTTAAATCATGTTCATGTGTTGCCTATTTAGAAATGAAATATACTTTTTTTTAAATGAACATATTTTTTGAAGCAGATAAAATTGGTTGCCTTAATAATGTGGACACAGTGGTAATGGAGATTCCGATGTTGATAATATCCTGCAAAATTAAAATTCTCTTGTAAAAGGAATGCTGCATAACAGTTCCTAAATTTCAATGGACTTAGATCATTTCATGGTCATGGTTCTTCAGTTCAGCTGTGATTTTGATCTTAGGTGGACTAGGCTGGACTTTGTGGGGTTCAAATCTACTCCATGTGTCTTCATTCTAGGACCAGGCTGGAAATGGAGAACTACTGGAGCATGTTTACTTGTGGCTCAGTGAAAATTCAGAAGGGTTTCTAGGAATTTGCCTTGTCTCCCAGTACAAGTAGCACATTGAAACACCTACCTTTATTCTGTTAAATCAAGTCACATAGCCAAACTCAGAGTCAGTAGAGTGAAGATGTGTTATTTGCCTACTGGGAGGCACATGCAAGGGTGTGGATACATGCTTCTTTTACAGGGAAAGGGAGATGAGAGTGATGATGAAGGAAATGAGTTAACAGATGCAAAGAAATTCAGTTGAGGATGGTTGAGAATAAAGTTGCTTACAAAAATGTGTATTAATGTATATTTTCTAAATTAAAATTGTCCAAGATATAGCATCCTACTTTAAAATGAGATATCTCAAGGCTTCCATGTCAAGGTATCATGTTTGGTTTATCTTATATCTGCCAGTCCTGCCACCCTGCTTTGTAATCAGTTCTTAGCATTGATAGAAACATTTGTTTGGTTAAATAATATACATATAAAGACACCAGTTTTTAAAGATATAGTTCTGAATGTGTTTATTTCAGCTACTGAATTTGTTCATTCTTAGTTCTTATGTCATATCCATGTCTGACAACTCACCTTTCACAACAGAATCTTCTTTTCAGGGAGATGTCCTTTGCTTCTCAGATGTAATGCACTTTAAGTTTATTATTCAACAGTGAAAATGAGTCATACAGAGGTAATAATATTTTCATATGTTATGTATCTTCAGGTTTCCTTTTTAAAAAAAAACTGTAATCATAATCAGAGTGCTTTTCTTATTTTCAACTTGCACTGTGAGAGGCAGTATAGTATTCGTAGTTAATAAGAGTAAGGACTGTGGAGCAGACTGCCTGAGTTTGAATCCTAGCTAGTGGTTTTAATACCTTAATCTATTGTGCCCTGGTCTATAAAAATGGGAATAACAGTAGTACTCGCCTCGTAGAATTATAAGAAAGGTTTAAATGAGTTAATACATATAAAGCACTTATAGTACCTGACACACTTAAATATTAACTTTTATTAATAGCATTAGTTTTTATTTGGAGGCCATGATTTGAATCTTGAGTCTCTCCAAACATGTATAGTTTATTCACTTGTCTGAGTAGTCAAGGAAGTAATTTAATTCCTTATTCTCTTGAATTTCAGGTTAAGTTAAAAATACCTTTTGGAAATAAGTTGCTGGATGCTGTTTGTTTGGTACCTAGCAAGAGTTTAACATACGGAATAATTCTTACACATGGAGCATCAGGAGATATGAATCTTCCTCATTTGATGTCATTGGCATCCCATCTTGCATCTCATGGCTTTTTTTGCCTGAGATTTACCTGTAAAGGCCTTAATATTGTGCATAGAATTAAGGCATACAAAGCAGTTTTGGTAAGAAATTTCTTTATATTTACTTTTAATAAGATTCTGTTTAAAATTTTTAATAAATTTAAGACAGTTTTGTTAGCAGTCATTTGGTTTTATTAAAAAATCTTTTAATGAGTATCCTTAGAAACACAACAGTTAAGAAGGCCATTTAGTGGTCAGATTTGTTCCTTTTTTGCCATTAGTTTCCATGGAGATGAATGCACACATCAGAAATGTTCCCCCATGCTACTGCCCAGAAAACTATTTAGTATTTTCTCACTGAACTCATATAACTTTATTATAGTTGTGGCATTCTGGAGTGTTTCACCTACTGTGCAAATATGACAGTGTTTTCTATATATGTTTAAGAATATTGCATAAGATTCCTAGATAAAGCTCAAATCTGAAATTTCTTTTAATCTAAATTATTTCAAGCTTGCTAAGTTTTTTCAGAGATTTAAATTAGATATTAGTATTATCAAATTAGAAGCCCTTACTGGCCTTTTTAAATTAATTTGTTCTTTAACAATAGCTCAGTGCTTGAATATTTTTATAAAGGGTAATATATAGGCATATCACATCTTTATATAAAGGTAAATTAATGTTTTCTTACATATTTGTGTTACCCAACGTGATTTGATAGTGACCAGAAAAGGAAAGAACTGATATCTCTTTCAAGAAGAATCTTTTTAAGATTTTTGTGATTGTCTTTGCATAAATTTTCATACATGTTAGTAATGATAAGAAATAATGTGTCTTGGCTTTCTGGTAGAACATTGAATAGGAGAAGAATTGATAATTTTTTGGTTGATTTGTCTAGAATTACCTAAAGACCTCAGGAGAATACAAACTTGCAGGTGTTTTCCTTGGAGGTAAGTTGCAATACTTGTGAATACTTGTTAGCTATCCATTTTAATATTAAAAATACTTGATTCCAGGAAGGTAATTTAAGGCTTTTTGTTTGTTTTGGTAAGTGGCCTCCTTGGTGTATTTTTTGTATTTTAAGCAAATTTAAACCTTTTTTACAGTAATCTAAGGAACTCTCTTTTTTTTCCCCCTTTATTTTTGGTACCAGGGATTAGACCCAAGGGCAGTTAACCATTGAGCCACATCCTCAGCCTCTTCTTGTATTTTATTTAGGGATAGAGTCTCAGTGAGTTGCTTAGGGCCTTGCTAAGTTGCTGAAATTGCTTTGAACTTAAAATCCTCCTGTCTTAGCCTCTTGAGCCACTGGGATTACAGGCATGTACCCACTGTTCCTGGCAGGAACTCTCCTTTTATTTATATCTTTGACTCTCTTGCAAATGTTTCCTTCACAGATTGTCCTCATATTTTGAAGTTTTCTTCAGAAAAATAATTGCTTTCGGGGGAAGGAGTACCAGGGATTGAATCCCGGGCTGCTTAACACTTCATCCCTAGCCTTTTATTTTTTGAGAAAGGGTCACATTTCTGAGGCTGGCTTTGAAATTGCAATCCTCCAGTCTGGGTCTTCCAGGTTGCTGGGTTTATAGGCATGCACCACCATGCCCATAAATAATTGCTTTATTTAAATGTGATTTTAGCTTTTCATAAGGCTATAGTTTTCCATTATGGGAATTGTAACTTGTTAGTTGCCACCTTTTAGAGCTAAGAAATGTTTTCAATGAACAAATACAAACAGTAAAATCCATTTGTGTAAATGTTTCTATTTCAAACTGAACTGAATTTTAATTGATTTTATTAGGTCGTTCAATGGGCTCAAGAGCAGCTGCTTCTGTAATGTGTCATATTGAGCCAGATGACGCTGATGGTTTTGTTCGAGGTCTCATTTGTATTTCTTATCCACTGCACCATCCAAAACAACAGCATAAACTCAGAGATGAAGATCTCTTTCGTATAAAAGATCCTGTACTGTTTGTGTCAGGCTCAGCAGATGAAATGTGTGAGAAGGTGAATTACAACTTGATGTTTGTTTAAATGAGAGTGAATGAGATATTACCTGCAAAATTCAGTCTCCTAAAAATATGCTAATTTGTCTAATGCTAGTTTTGTGCCTTTGTCACCCTGTTGCTCTAGAGAAAGTAAAAATAGCAGTATGCTGACAAAATCCATTTCTCTGGAAAGAAGGTTGGTAAATGGATTAGCCCTTATTTGGAAAGTGAAGGATTAATATCCAAATGCTCTGATTTGGAGATTATGAAGTTGTACTTTGATTTGTCATTTCATCATTCATGCAGATTGTTATAAAATTGACTTGAGAAAGGGTTGGCAGTGTTGGCATATTATGAAATATTAGCCCAATATTATGAAACATTTTTGTGTTTCCCAGAATATATAATTTCCTTGGGATTTTTTTTTTGGAAGGGGTTTAATTCACTAAACTCTTTTATTATTGGTAATTGATCCATTCTGTGTTATCATTCATTTCCTTGTGCATTCCATAGAGTAGGTATTAAATGAATAGTTGGTGAGTGAATGCAGTATGGGGGGATCTTTTATTAAACAATACAGCATTAGTCTAGTATCCTCTTCTTTTTCCTCTTAGAACTTGTTGGAGAAAGTGGCACAGAAAATGCAAGCTCCCAATAAAATCCACTGGATTGAGAAGGCAAATCATTCCATGGCAGTGAAAGGACGGTCAACAAATGATGTTTTCAAAGAAATAAATACACAGATTTTGTTTTGGATCCAAGAAATCACTGAAATGGACAAGAAATAATTGTCATTAGTTAAAAGCCATGTTATTTTGAATACAAGTACAGTTAATTTGATAAAGAATAATATACCTCTCAGCATTATGAGATATATTTCAGACTAATGTTCTTTAATGTTGCCCTATTTTTGAAACACATTTTAATTGTGAAAATAATATTCTTTACAAAATGTCTTTTGAAAGCACTGTTATAGTTGTATGAAGATGATGTACAAATATTAAAGGTGGTCTAAATATAATTTATTTTCACTAGTATAGTTAAGCTTTGAAAAAATTAAACTTTTGAATTTTGTTACAACAGTGCTTTTGTCTTACTGATATGCAACTGAAAAAAAGTAATTTTGTAGAATAGTGTCATTCTTAATGAAGAGAAATTGGGGTGGGGGCTGTAGCTCACTTGCCTAGCATTTGTAAAGCCTTTAGTTCAATTCCTAGCACTACAAAAAAGAAAACTAGCTGGGAGCGATGGCACATGCCTGTAATCCCAGCAGCTTGGGAGCATAAGGAAGGAGGATTGCAAGCCTGAGCAACCTTAGTAAGACTCTGTCTTAAAAAATAAATTGGGCTGGGAATGTGGCTCAGTGGTTAAGCACCCCTAGGATCAATCCTTGGTACCAAGAAAAGGAAAGAAAACTAAATTAATTTACTATATTAAATCTAGTCAGATTTATGGAGTTATATACATCTATACCTAGGAAGGTAGGAATGGAAATGCATTTCAAATGTGAGACCCTGAACACTTTAAAAAATGAAGTAACAACTTTCATTGAAGAAGCTTTTACTGAATATGTTAAAAGTGAGGCTACATAGGTTTGCAAAAAAAGTAAAACTTATACCTTACAACATGGTGCATGAAACCAATAAGTAGACCACTGTCTGATTAAGGAGTTAAATAATGGACTACATGGTAGGACTAACATATAATATGTAGGCAGAGTTGGGGCACTTAATTTTTGTCTTGGGAAATTCAGGTATCTCCTGAACTGAACTTGAAATGGTATTGAGAATATAAAATCTAAAATGCAAAAATAATGAAGTTAAATTTATAAAGAAAATGTGTAGCAAGGAATGGTTTTCTATAAAGAATTTACTCTAGCCTCAGATGGTGTGGGCAACTTGTAGATTTTTGAGGTTCCTCTTTCTTCCTGCCATGGTAAAAGCAATTATTTTATTTTAGAAAATATTGCATAAAGAATGAAAACCTAGGTAATAGCATCCAGATCATTCATGTTATAGAATGAAGTGAAGTACAACTACAAATCCAAAACTCCTATATCTGCTCTGAGACCAATTTATTTCCTGAAGAAAACCTAAATTAAAAAAAAAAAAAGGTAACAGTTCATATTTAAAATGATATGGGTATGAAAACAATCTAGATGTCTACATAATCACTGATCTGTTAACAACTACAAATCAACTGGGGAATAACACTGAGAACCAGAAGTAAAACTAATCAAAAAGACAAAGGACAACTTATTACAAATTGAACATACTATAAAATACTAAGACAAATGGATTTTAAAAGTTATTAACAAGGCTATGCAGTTATAAGAAGGCTTACCAAAGATTATGGAAGCCATCATATAGCCTTCACTGGTAGGCACTAATTAATGATGCAGCTGCTCATCGAGCTAGTCCAGTGCTTTCCAGCTGGGGGTGATTTTTGCCCTTTGGGGACATATGGCAATGTCTGGAAACTTGTCACTACTGAAGTGGTGCTGTGACATCCTATAAGTAGAAGAAAAGGATATTGCTGAATATCTTACCATGCAGGGCAACAGCTACAGCAAAGAAGTGCTCCATTCAAGATGTCACTAGTGCCATGAAAAGTTCTGTCCTAGGCATACCAGTTTTGGGATTATCTTTAAATGCTTTAAATGTTAGGGTTATTACCATTAGCTCCTCCACATGCCCTTTTGTTTCCTTTCGGTTGCTAAATCTTGGATTTTCAGGGTCTAAAATTCTCTTGCTTCCATCTCTTTGCTATTGGTACCACCATCATTCAGTTGAAGCCTTTATCAATTTTCATCTGTGTAATTGCAGTAGCCTAATTGATTTTCCTCTTTTATTGTCGATTTGCTTTGATTAATAAATTGATCTTACCAACCCCAAATCTTGAATGGCATTCTATAATAGCACCCTATCAACAGTTTAGCCTTTTTCCTCTTCATACTCAAACCTGTTTCAGCACTATAGCTACCTGGATTACAAAAAGCTTTTGTATAAAGGAAAATCTGTCTCTTACTGAAATTTTTGATCTTTGCCTGTTCTTAAGTGTTACTCATCCTTAAAACAGTTTTTTCTCTCTTTGCAACTTTCTTTGAATGATTTCCAAAATAAATATCTTTGTCACAATCTGCCTTCCTATTATTAATACATGTGCAGCATCCTATTTGTATTACAAACTTCAACAAGTCGGGAACTATATTTCACTTGTCTTTGAAGCACTTTTTCTGTGTTCAGTGCCTTCTTTACTCAGTAAATATTTGTTGCATTGAAATAAGGTAATTAGAAGGAATATTTGTAATCATTATGAACAATCCCTGGTTTTATGTTCCTGTTTTATATACCTGTCATTGGAACTTTTCTGTTAAAGAAAACCTGGCTTATAAAGTCCAAATAGTTCAAAGAATGTGATATTGGCTGGGGATATATATTACTCATTGGTAGAGCACTTGCCTAGTATTTGGAGGCCTTAGATTTGTTTCAACCCCCTAGTTCTGGGAGGGAAAAAAAAAAAATTCAATAAGTACTATGTTCTCCCAGCTTTTCTCAGGATTTTTTTTAAATATTTATTTTTTACTTGTAGTTGGAAACAATACCTATATTTCACTTATTTATTCTTATGTGGTGCTGAGGCTCGAACCCAGGGTCTTGCATGTGCGAGGCGAGCACTCTACTGCTGAGCCACAACCCCAGCCCCTTCTCTGAGGATCTTGGAAACCCGTTATCCACTCTTCTGCTTCCCCTCCATCCTGTGTAGCACCTCCCCAACACATCCAGCTTCATATTTTCACTACCAATTGCCTGCAAGGGTTCTGATGTGTTCCTTGTATGAAATTTTTAGGATTTTGCTGAATCAAAGGATGTTCTCTATCTGATATTAGGCAGATTCTAGAAACATGTTCCATGTTCTAAACTGAGAACACTTGTATATCAAGTAGACAGTATTCATCTATAATTTATTTTTTATTTTACTTTTTTTTTGTGCAAAAATAGAAGGTCAGTGGCATAGATGTTCTATATTTTGTCTTATACAAGTGTTATGAAAAAAAAATCTAATAAAATATTTTAAAGCAAAAATTTTTTTAAAAGTTTTATGAGCTGGTGATATAGCTTAGCGGTAGAACACTTCCCTGTGTTTGCAAGGCCTGGGGTTTGAGCCCCAGCAGTGAGCACCAGAAAAATAATGTGACATTGGTAGATACAGAGTTTTCGATTTTTTTTTTGAGTGTTTTCTTGTAGTTTCTTTTCTTTATTACTGTTAGAAATGGGCTTTCTCTGATGTTCTTGTTTTAACTTCATGATTGTTTAAATCTGTTTTTTTTAAAAATCAGTTCTAGTACAAGGGATAGAAGCATCTGTGCTGAACAATAGACGATTATACTTTTGTTAGTAGGCAAGAATAAGAACATGAGTAATAAAACAGTGAAGCACTGGAGGGGAATAATATTAACCCATGTTAATTTTCTATCAGGAGCAGTAAGCAGCAGCTCCTTTTCAGTTTTTATAAGCTATGCAATGGGATCCTAGTGAGGGACTCAGTACCATAAAGCTTGGAAGGATTTAAGTAACTAAAGTATTGAAATAACAAAGCCCCTTTATGAAAGTTAACATTAAGCAAATTAGAATTTCTGAAAGTAGGTGAAAGAAATTGAATTTTTACTAGATGCTTTAAATTTTAAAGGAAAACCGGGGCTGGGGATGTGGCTCAAGCGGTAGCGCGCTCGCCTGGCATGCGTGCGGCCCAGGTTCAATCCTCAGCACCACATACAAACAAAGATGTTGTGTCCGCCGAAAACTTTAAAAATAAATAAATAAATATTAAAGTTTAAAAAAAAAAAATTTAAAGGAAAACCTAAGCAGAATAAAATCACCCGCCCCCTATAAAACTAAAATAAAAAAACTCAAAAACACAAGAAGGGGGGGGGGATGGTCTTTAAAAATCACTCAGCTTAAATAAGCGGGAGGGTACAGAAAAGAGGGTGTGCTTTATTACAGTGCTAGAAAAATTGAGAGAAATTGCTAAAGTTTCATCCAGAGCTAAATAATACCTACCATACATTCTGGAGCACTATTTTTTGTAAATACAAAACCCAAGTTTAACCTAACTAAGTTTAACCTAACTGAGGATTACAGATACCTGGACAAATAGTATAGTTGACTGTAAATTATGATATTTGTGATCCTTGGTACTCAAGGGAAATAAGAACTCAAGTCAATTTTCACTGTGCTCAGAGAAGGCCTGAACCATTTACTCCAGTAGAACAAATAGTACTTCTTTCCTTAACCCGTCTTGCAAAAGTAAAGCCAGAGGAGGTATGGAGTACTGTTCCTTTGAAGAAGGAACTGTTCATCTCCAAAGGAACTGTTTTACCTTCAAAGTATTCATTACTAAGACTAACTCTGCTTTTGACTAAACTTGTTTTGTATGCTCAGGAAACATACAGGCCTGCCCTCTAGACTCAGGCAAGTGGGCCGTACTAAGAGCTACCTCTGCCCCACCCTTAATTCTGACATTGAAAGGACATCACAAGTAGCTCCTTGGAATTGCCATGGACTGGTGTAAAGGAAATTCACCATAAAGGCTGGTTCAAAGTCTAACTTTGTTTTTCGGCATATCAATAGATTGTTGAAGGGAAACTTGCCAGCAGAGCCCTCTAACAAAAAGAAATATAAAATGAAGTGTTCTAAAAATAGACTCAATTTACATAGTGGTAATGGCACATATCTATAGTAAATGCTTATTTGGAATTTATTTGAAATACAAATTAAATTGGGCATCCAGTATTTTATTTGTTAAACCTGTCAACCTTACATTCATTCTAAGAAAGGACTATATCTTCCTTACCACAAAGAAACATAAAATACACTATTACTGATCATAATAGAAATGATTATATCAAATGCCTTCTACCAATTCAAGTTTATTTATATTTTTTGAACTATAAGAATGGATAGTCCAACTGTGCTAAGGAATTGCATCTTAGAATTGCATTTCTGTATATGAAATTAATAGAGGATAATTTTTATTATCATTTTTATTAGAGCATTCTAGTTATACATAGTAGCTGAGTTCATCCCGGCAGAATTATACATTCCTGAAATGTGACCCACTCCGTTTCATTCCCAGTTCCTCCCCTCACACTTGTGCTTCTCACACTCACATAAAAGTAAAATTCCCTGTGGTTTATCTAATATGCATATGATGTGAGTTTGTTAAATTCACTCCACATTTCTTCCCATTTCCCATCCCTCCTTCCACCCTTCCAAGTCCTTTTCTACTCACCTTCCCTATATCTTTATGATATCCATCCTCACCCGCCACCCTTTTCCTTATTTTTAAGCTCTAGCTTCCACATATGAGAGAAAACATTCAACCCTTGAATCTAGCTTATTTCACTTAGCATTATATTCTCCATTTCCATCCATTTACCAGCAAATACCATATTTCATTCTTCTTTATGGCTGAGTAAAACTCCATTGTATGTGTTTACCACATTTTCTTAATTCATTCATACATTGATGGGCATCTGGACTGATTATACTTTTTTTAATTAAAAAAACTATAGCACTGTACATGTCCCCCCAGTGAACTTTCATTATTGCTGAAGAAAGCTGACATGAGCTCAGTTCAATACCCACTGTGACACGTACTTCACATTACTGAGGCCCAGAGCAATCATTGCTGCATTTGATAAGACACTGAACAGCACTGAAGTTTTTTTTCTGCATGTGATTATGAGATGGACATACCAACTTTTGTGTTTTGGAGCACCTGAAGTGGAGAATTTCTGAATGAGATACCAATTTATTTTACCTGCTATGTTAAAATGTCAAAGCCATATTATTCTTTTAAAAATGAAGTGAAGGATACATTGGAAGATAATACAGTTTTTACATTAATGGACCTTCTAGAGTCCTGGATTTTTCAAAATGACTGGACAGCAATCTTCTTTATAATTTTCCTAGGCATTATTTTTGAAATAATACTCATAAAAATTTGTGCGTTCTTTAAGAAGATGGTGCTTCCAGAAATAGATAGTTCAGTTTCCTGGGAGGTAAGAACAGATGTTGACTTCTCCCACTCCTATTTTTCAGAATTACACATCAGAATAATTAGTACCATTTTTTAACTGATATTTAGATTACTTTACTAATAACATTTATTTATTCATTTATTCTCCTGGAATAGAGTGAAGATAGTAGATGCCTGAAAAGGAAGAAATTTGGTAAATATCACAGAATTTCATATTTTAATATGAAATTTATTTAGCATGAATTACTTCCACTGATACTGTGACTTTTTGATTTCCATTTAGCTCTAGGGAATCAGTCCATCATTCCACCATCTTCTGAAGAAGGGTAAGTGACACATTTTGAAATTAAATGAAATGGTTTGGTTGCATTCTATTAAAAAGTACATTTCCTTCTGAATTTCAGAAGATTTTCTCATATGTATAAGGTACTATAGCTGTTCAACATTAGAATTCAATCTAACATTTCTTTTAAGTGATTGTTAGTTCCAAGTTGTGTTAGGGATTTTTTGCGTATTTGTAAGATCCTTCAAGGTAGGTAATATTTTTGTTTTTACCGATAAGGAGGAATGAAGCTTGGAGAGACTCACTGACTTGCTTTCTTTCTATAAATTCTTTCGCACTACACACAAAGCAGTTGTTACCACCACTTCTTATACTCCATTAGAGAGAAAAAAGGCAAATTCATTTAGCATCTACTGTGGACCAGGTCAACACTAGGTGCTGCAAAATTGACATAAAAGGACTTTATAAGATCAGAATCTTATCAGCATGCTAAAGGTAGCTCAGTGCTAGGGATGAAATACTGACATCATCACTACTATGGTTGCTATCAATATTTTAGTTGTTTTCATCGAAATTTGTTCAACCATTATTAGGTATCTACTATATAATGGACACTATATACATTTGATCGTGGGTTATTAAAGGTAAGATACTCTCTGATCTCAAGAGGCTTATATTTTTGTGGAGAGACATACACAAAGGCTACTTGCCTTGCAGTGCAGTAACAGTGACAAATATGACAACATTTAGGAGGTACTCACACCAGCCTTAGGATCTCAGGAATGGTTTCATGAAGGTTATGCTGGAGCTGAATTTTAGAGGACCAGTGAAAATTAGCCTGAAATAGAGAGTGAGGAGGATAAGAAAGGCATTCCAGACATGAGCAAAGGTGAAGAAGTAAGAAACAGCAGGCTATGTGAAAGAAATGGACAGTTATTTCAGAGTTGCTGTAATATTAATATTCAGTCAGGGATAGTAGTGGGGGATGGATGTGATGGGGTAGACAAGATCAAATCATGAAGGGCTCTCTACACCACGTTAAGAGGCTTAGACTCTGTAGACAGTGACCACCTAAAGCTGCTTAAAGCATAGGAGCTTGTGTTTTAGCAAGACCACTTTTTTTTTTAAAATAAATATCTAAAAGTTCATATTTGCATTCAGGTAATCAAATTGTGGCATCCAGATAGATGTTTACTACAAAATGCCACTTGATGAATATAGAAATAATTTAAAAAGAGAAAACTATCAGAGCTGGGGATGTGGCTTAGTGGTAGAGCACTTGCCAGACGTGTGAGGCACTGGGTTCGATTCTTAGCACCACATATAAATAAATGAATAAAATAAAGGTCTATCAACAACTGAAAAAAAAAAGTAAACTTTCACTAAACAAACATCACAGTAATAATTGATACAGGCAAAATTTGCCATTGCATGATTAAACCAGGTGGAGAAATTATTATGAGAAACAAGATATTTACATAGCTTCAAAATAATGGTTTGATTACAAAGGGAAAAATAATGAATTTAACAGTTAAATCTGTCAAACAACACATGTAAACCAAGAATCAAGTTGGGAATTACCAGTTATCAATTATCAATAACATGTATTGAGGCACTAAGAAGAAAATATACTATTGTTTCTCTACCAACACGAATAATGTCATTCTAATAATGAAAAATCACTAGACAAAACAACATTCTGCACATTAACTGATCAGTTAGTTACCTTGAAAACTGTGAATGTGATGAAAGAAAATGAAAACTCCAAAAATTGTGTGCTAAGAGTTAGTACATATCTACTTTGTAGATCCCAAAGTTTGTTGCTATTTTGTTTTCTTTGTCTTTGTTCTTTTTTTTTTTTTAGTTCATTTTATACACATGACAGTAGAGTATATTTTGACATATTGTACACACCCGGAGTATGACATATTTTAATTAGAATCTCATTCTTGTGGTTGTACGTGATGTGGAGTTTCACTGGTGGTGTATTCATGTATAAACATAGGAAAGTTATGTCCGGTTCATTCCACTATCTTTTTTGAAGAATGAATAAAAGATTGCTTTGCGTTAGTCTAATTTCTTTAATGTGCCAGTTTATAGGGCTTTTAAAATTTATTCAAGTCACTTTATGTAGTATTGGGTCCTAGCAGCTATAGTTATGAAGTGGGTATCTTAAGAAGCTGGAGCACTCTCTGAAGGTACAGGTGGATAGGATCTGTGTTGGGACAGGTGGGGAGCTGGGATGTGACTGTGGCACCTCAGTCACACAGAATAGTCCCGGCTATACTGACCGAGTCAATGTTTGAGGCATTTCAGGGCTAAGGCGAACACTATGACCCAAGCTTCACATAGAATTCAAAGCCAAAGGGTTCACAGGTAAGAGGAAATCTCCACAGAAATGGGAGAGAAAGATTTTCTCCTTCAGAGTCAAGGAGACAAGAGCCTGCCCACTCTTCATGCCAAGCTTCCTTTCCTATCTAGGCAGGATTAATTCTTCAGTAGCTCCTTTCTAGGGGATACTAACGGAGGGTATAGCAGTCACCCCTGAACTGAGATTTTACTTTCTGTGATTTCAGTTACCCAGTGTCAACCATGGTCTAAAAATGAACAAAACTGAAGAAATAAACAGTTTAAGTTTTAAATTGCACACCATTCTGAGTAACATGATAAAATTTCACGCCAACCCTCTCTGTTCTGCCCAAGATGTGCATTATCCCTTTGTCCAGCATATCCAGGCTATCTATATGCCATCTTCCTGTTAGCCACTAAATAGCTGTCCTGGATATCAGCTTGACTGTTACAGTATCACAGAGCTGTTCAAGTCATCTTTATGAGAGCAGTGAGGCTGGCAATAGTAGATATGCAAAAGAGGAGCCAAACAGTGTTTTCTTTAAGTGAAAAGGTGAAAGTAAACAAGATTTTTTGAAAAAGAAAGAGACCACATTCACATAACTTTTATTATAGTATATTGTTTAAATTTTCTACATTAAGGGGCTGGAGTTGTGGCTCAGGGTAGAGGGCTTGCCTCACATGTGTGAGACACTGGATTTGATTCTAGCACCACATACAAATAAATGAATATAAAAAAGGTCCGTCAACATCTAAATTTTTTTTTTAAATTTTCTACTTTAGTATTAATTGTTGTTAATCTACTAGTGGGCCTAATTTATAAATTAAACTCTAGGGAGTTCCGTCCTTAGCACCACAAATAAATATTTAAATAAACTTCATCATAGGTAGATATTATAAGAAAAAGATAGTATATATAGGTTTTGGTATTATCAGAGGTGTCTTGGGAATAAGGGTGGGCTACTGTAGAAGAAGAGATTAGTGCAATGACATAAAGAAAAGTATTAGGGAAGAGATACAGCTCCTGTACAGCAGCATCGTGTGGGGAAAACTCCAAATATTGGAATAAAAATGGTGTAAATTCATATTGCCTTTTAACTGATGGCATGGATTTGGGCTAATAGTCTAAAGTCACTATACCCCCTTTCTCCTTATTTTCAAAGTAGGAGTTAGAACAAACTGTTAGGGTTATCATCAAGATTGGTTAAAATGACATCTGTAACAAAGCACAAATATTTTATCCTAGCACCAGAATTTCCTTTCTGGAACAGAACTGTATTTGAAATAGCATCTTAAAAGATTAGTTTGGGGGTAAATATTTACTCCCAAGATGTAGGCTCTCTGTTCACCTCATAGATTCTTTCTTTTGCTGAGAAGAACTTTTTTAGTTCTTCCCATTTAAGTTTTAAATTGCACACCATTCTGAGTTCATCCCATTTATTGATTCAACTTTTTTGAGTTCATCCCATTTATTGATTCTTGATTTTAATTCTTGCACCACAGGAGTCTTAAATCTTTACCCCTCATACCCTAACCTCTAGGGTATATAAAGAACTCAAAAAGCTAAACACCAACAAAACAAATAACCCAATCAATAAATGGGCCAAGGACCTGAACAGACATTTCTCAGAAGATGATATACAATCAATCAACAAATACATGAAAAAATGTTCATCATCACTAGCAATTAGAGAAATGCAAATCAAAACCACTCTGATTTCATCTCACTTCAGTAAGAATGGCAGCTATTATGCACACAAACAACAATAAGTGTTGGTGAGGATGTGGGGAAAAAGGTACACTTGTATACACTGTTGGTGGGACTGCAAATTAGTGCAGCCAATCTGGAAAGCAGTGTGGAGATTTCTTGGAAAATTGGGAATGGAACCACTGTTTGACCCAGCTGTCCCTCTCCTCGGTCTATACCCAGAGGACTTAAAAACAGCATACTACAGGGACACAGCCACATCAATGCTTATAGCAGCACAATTCACACTAGCTAAACTGTGGAACCAACTTAAATGCCCTTCAGTAGATGAATGGATAAAAAAAAATGTGGCATATATACACAATGGAATATTACTCAGCAATAAAAGAGAATAAAATCATGGCATTTGCAGGTAAATGGATGGAGTCAGAGGAGATGATGCTAAGTGAAGTTAGCCAATCCCTCAAAACCAAATGCTGAATGTTTTCTTTGATGTAAGGAGGCTGATTCATAATGGGATAGGGAGAGGGAGCATGGGAGGAATAGATTAACTCTAGATAGGTAGAGGGGTGGGAGGGAAAGGGAGGGGGCATTGGGTTAGAAATGATGGTGGAACGTGATGATCATTATTATCCAAAGTACATGAATAAAGACAAATTGGTGTGAATATACTTTGTATACAACCAGATATGAAAAATTGTGCTCTATGTGTGTAATAAAAATTGTAATGCATTCTGTCATATATAAATAAAAAATAAAATTTAATAATAATAAAATTTTTGAAAAAGATTATTTTGAAATAGAAGGGTTTGAATATTGTTAGAAGCCCAAACCACAAAATGGTTAGTACACTGCATTAGAGACCCACTGAGTAGATTTTTTTCTAGCTTATAAAATGGAAGAAAGAGAAAAATGGGGCAACACATAAGGGAAGGAGATGCAATTGAAATTGGTGTGAGACTCAGGTCTGTGTGGCCTGAAGGATAGATCCACCTCTGAAATCAGAGGAGCCAAACTGGCTTGGCATAATCTCAGTAAGAAAACAAATTGCTGGTTTTACATGGGATTTAGGGGATTGCTTATTTCAGAGTTGGCATTGCCTATAGGTACATATCATTGGAGAATCTACTATCAGTTACTTGACTTTCAAAGCTTGAACCTGTCACTGACTGTTGGTTTCAGAAGTGTATTTCCTGAAGTGAGTTATCATTGATAAAATAGTTTAAAAGCAGATTGGATGTTTATTTTTTACTGACTATTGAGCTGCCATTGATGGATTTAATTGACTTAAAACCAGCTCTGTTACTACTTAACATGGCTATACAACTATCAGTCTTTTCCTAGGAAGACTGGGTGTTCCTATCAAATTCAAAGGCCAGTGCAGATTTTCTGGTGAGGCAGAGGCTAAAGGACATTTCACAAATGGGAAGACATACCTGGTGCTTAAGTAGGAGCTACATCCATTCCTATAAAAACCAATCTGTGTCTGCCTCAAGATTCTCAGTAAAGTCAGCCACATTTATGAGTAGTTTATTCCAGTTATATGAAATTGAGGAAAGGGTTGGATTGTATATTCACATCACCTTGTTTTAGAGGAAGGAGAAGCCTGGTGGGGAATGACTGACTACACAGCAATATTTACTGCCAGGCATTGTTCTAGGCTCTTTAGGTACATTAGTGAACAAAACAGAGATTCCTGCCTTCTTTTTTCTTTTTTTTTTTTTTTTTGGGGGGGGGTTGCTGTCCAATAATGAACAATAACATAACAAATTGTCAAAGGTACTATGTGAAAGCAGGGAAAGCCATGCTGGCCTGGCATGATTTCAGTGAGCAAGGAAAGCTGCTGATCTTATATTGGATTGGGGAATGGTTTGTTTTAGTATTTCCTTATCCTGGTATTAGATCATACCTATTCCTACACTAATCTCTTGGACATTTGATTCCTATGTTAGCCTGAGCCTCATTATCTCAGGTAGTCTGTGTGTTGGAGAGTACACATTTTGATGCAAAACATTGACTTAGTTGTAAGGACAGACCTTGGTACCAAGGACTATATACTAAAAGTAATGGGTAGATAACAAAAATGGTATGTACAGCCTGTATTAGTTTTCTGTGGCTATCATAACATTGTACCACAGACTGGGTGACATAAAAAACAGAAATTCTTTCCTTATTTTTCTGGAGCTGATAAGTCCAAGATCATTGTATCAGCAGGTCTGGTTTCTCCTGAGCCCTCTTTCCTTGACTTACAGGCAGGCACTTTCTTTCTTTCTTTTTTAATATGTATGTTTTTAGTTGTTACCTTTATTTTTATTTATTTACTTATATGGTGCTGAAGATCGAACTCAGTGCCTCACGCTTGCTCAGCAAGTGCTCTGCCACTGAGCTACAGCCCCAGCCCCAGGCAGGCACTGTCTTGCTATGTTCTCACTTGGTCTCTTTTCAATACACATATGTCTGTTTGTCCAAATTCTTCTTCTTAGTAAGAAGTTACATCAAAACTCTAAACACTGAGAACTCTGAATAAAAGGGCTTATTGAACCATTACAAATGCTAGCCAGAAAGGACAGACCAGTTCTGTGACAAGTTCCCATAGCCCCCAGCAGCAAGATTAGGTAAGCAGATGGGAAAATGTCCTCTGGACTAGAATTAAGAGCATTTAAAGATATTTTTATTAAAATTTGGGTAAGGCAGGTCTAAGTTGTTTACATTGAACCTACATCTTAGGCGGGAGGATCGTGATTACATGAAGCAGGAAGGCTGTAGGATAGGAGGGCAAGCCAGAAGGAGAAGTTATTGTTGCTTCTGGATTGTGTGGGGTTGTGAGCAGATGCAGCAGCATCTACAGAGTCATGATTGGAGTTGGGTTAAGACAGTAATGTGCATTCAACAGTGCAAAAAAATCTTGAGTTCTTTAGGTCTAGCTTGTTAAGTGATTAACTTCACCCCATCTCACTTCCTTTTTCATTCTCTGGCCTTTTTTTATTAAATGCAGGATATTTTTATTTTATTAAATTCAGAATTTCTCTCTTATTTTAAAAGGCACCAGGCATATAGGATTAGGGCCCCTCCTACAGACCTTAGTTTAAATTTGTTACTTTTTAAGCCCTTACTGTATTTCACAGCATAACCATCGCTGCTGCACTGATGTATATTCATGAGTAATACAGTTTAGTAATACATGATTAAGTAATATCCGCACAATTTAAAAAGAAAAAAAAACAAACCTTCACATAATGTTGCACCCCCACTTTTTTGCCAAGAAAAAAAATAGCATAAAATGACAATTGTTCAGTGAAATACAATATATCCAAATATAGTCATATGAATTAGGAACCACCCATATGGCCTCATTTAATCTTAATTTCCCATTCCAATCCCTGTCTCCAAATATGGGCATATTGTGAGTTACTGGAGTTAAGACTTCAACAAATGAATTTTGGGAGAACACAATTTAACCCATAACACAGCCTGTATGTTAGATTAAAAAAATAACAACTGAGGGAACTTGAAAGCTACAAAACATATTTTGAATATTCACCCAATATTTTTGTATTGCAACATAGTCTAAAATCTCCCAAATTCTAATTAGCCAAATCCAAATTAATGAGATTTAACAAATGATTTTATGTTTGCATAAACCATGATGATGGTTTATACTACCTTTACTTTTTTTTTTTTTTTTTTTGATTGAAGGATATTAATGAAAGTAAGGTCACACCTCCAGGAAACTAGGAGATAATCTGTGTTTCACAAATAGCTAGTGAGTTATCTTGCCTATTTTAGTTTCAGTTTTTCACTTTAGATTTGTTCTTTCATGAAATGGGGATTTTTTTCAAAATTTATCATGCATCAGAATCGCTTAGAGGGCAGATTTCTAGCTGGGCACAGTGGTATAATGCCCAGAATCCCAGAAACTCTAGAGGCTAAGATAGGAGGATTGTGACTTTAAGGCCAATCTCAGCAATTTAGCAAGAGCCTATCAAAAAAAAAAAAAAAAAAAGCTGGGGATATAGCTCAGTGATAGAGCACCCCTGGATATAACCCCTTAGTATGGAGGGAAAAAAACCCTAAAAGATAAAAATAAAACTAAACTCTACGCCCAGAGCTTCTGACTCAGCACAGGTAGGATAAGAAAAAGCAGAGAAGCAGAACTAATGGGATGTGTTTGTATATATAAATAGAATCATTTTATGAAATTGGTCTATGCAGTTATGGCAACTAACAGGTTAAAATCTGCAGTATGAATACACAAACTATATTGGCAGAATGTTCTCTTGCTCTGGAGAGGCCATTGTTTTGTTCTACAAGCCTTCAGCTGATTATGTGAGACCTGCCCACATTAGGGAGAGCAGTCTTCTTTACCTAAAGTTCAGTGCTTTAAATGTTAATCTTATCCCCTCATAGAAACATCCAGAATAATGTTTGACCACTTATCTGGGCACCATGATCATAACATTAACCATCTTTCCAAGTAGTGCTATTGGTCTGAGCACTCATTAAATTGAGACTGATCATTTGAGGTAGATGGATATTGGGATTTTGGCAGGTCAGCTGCCATGGATGTTTCTCCTTCATGAGTCCAATCCAAAATTGTACTGAGAAGTATTTCCCCCAGATGTAGGCTTTTCCATTAATCATTGTTCTTAAGATACTCTGTCTATAGAAAGCTACAGATTACATGATTGGACAGTTTCTGTTGTACCTATTAAATTTCCATAAGGATGTTTTCTTTTAAAATTTTATATAGAGAACAGAAACAGATTGATATTCTTTATAAAAGGATGCAATCTTATCTGGCCACTTTGACTCATTGCTGTCAAAAATAGATTTTGAGAGAAGTTACAATAAAAATTCTCTCATTCTCTGAGATATAAACATGATTTTCTTTCACTTTTTAAATCACACTTGATAGATTTATTAAATGAAAAGAACTATGTAGTGAAATATTTTGTGATAATCTGTAATTTTGTAATCTTTCCTTTCATCATTATATTGACCTCTTTTTGTATATGGTACTGAGCTTCATTTATCTAGAGTGAGTCCTTATGAGAAATATGTTCTAATTGGTAGTTCATTTGCACATTTTTCTTTTATTTCAGAGTTGCTGTCTTTTCAGAAATAATTACTTCAACCCTTACATCTGAAGAAAATGAAGGTAACTTTGGAGACAAAATTTTATCAGAGGAGGAAATAATATGGGCAGGTACCAGTGAAAGTAAATATCAAGTAAGTCACTTTTGTGAACGTCACATGCCATCTTCAGTTGGGACCAGCTCACATTTGTCATTCTTTTGTTCAAAAGTAAAGGAAATTTTTCTTAGTGATAGAGAGCATCCAGAAAATGAATATGAAGCAGTACAATTTTCCTCAAAGAAATTGTTTTCAATAATGAAAACCAACAAAAATAAAAACGCAAGGTTTTCTTCTGATTATAGGCTTTCAAAAACTTGTATAGTCACTGTAGAAAATGAAGATCTCAATACGGCACCATGCCCTCCTGCCCTTTTATTTCTTTCTAGAGACCAAGTTAAACTTTTGGAAGAAAATGTGAGAAATCAAATTCCTTTAAAACAGAGAGCATTAGAAATTATAAGTAATTATCTGTATTCCCGACCTCAAGAGTCATTGATTCAGGATCAACATTCTGTTGAGATTGTTATTTCTACCCAAGCACAAGATTTTTTTCCAGAACAAAATGCTATGCAGAATCAAGAGTTTTATGAGACACAATTTATTAATCAAGCCCAACAATTTGTTCCCAACCAAGAATCAGTCAACAGCCAGTCTGATATCAGGGCTAGCTATTTTGCTCAGGCTCAAGATTTGATGAAGAAACCATTTTACAGCAGCACACAAGACTTCTTCCAGGCCCAAGATACAGATAGGAGCCTATATTATACCGAAGCTCCATATTGTGTTGAGGCACAAGATTCAATCAAGGGCCTAGAATTTGATGAATACTTAGATGTCGCCCAATATTCTGTTTGGTTTGAAGATTCCAACAAGATTAAAAATTCAATCAATGTGCAAGAAAGTGTTTGTAAGAATGCTGAATTTCTAGTTTTAACTTTTAGTCCACAGTCAATTGCTGAAGATATGTCACAACTACAGATGGCAAAGCCAAAAGACCAGCAACAAGTTGCTTTATTAGAAATAAACCAGTATTCTATATGTAGCCCAATGCTCCTTCCACCTACTGTTGAAGGGCAGAAAAACAGAAGAAAAGCACCAAATTGTAAAAGCAAACTCAGTCTTAAAGTTCCACCTCTAAAAGCAAAGAAAACTCCTTCGCACGAATCAAAACTCATAATATGTCACACTTCAAAAAACAGGAATGAGTTAGAATGTGAGAGTAACACTGTCAAGAAAGAATTACAGCAAAGAAAAGATGTATCAGATGTAACTTCGCATCTTATTTCTATCTCCAGGCTTAGTACTCCTCACATTAACAAATATTGCCGAAAAAAACTAGTGACAGGCATGCCATGCTTACAAAAATGTGGATATTTTCTGCAAGAACAAAATAAGTCACCAGATAAAAAGAAAATCAAGTACGCAGATTCTATTAAGAGAGAAAACCCAGGTATCATTAAAAATGTAAAACTGTATGACAAAGAAAATATAGGACTAAAAAACATTTCACCCAAAATGTTACCTGAGCTAGAACAATCTTTCACAGTCAACACTGAAGAAGTAAAGGCATCTTGCACATTATTAGAAGCAAACCAGAAGAGTACAGAGTCTCCTAAAGACCTTAAGCAAACACTTGACCCACACATTCCAAACCATGATATGCCTTCAGAAGAAACAACAGGGGAACCTGTGCAGAAACTTGTTTCATCTCCTAAGATGAAATCAAACGGAGGCATGAAAGTACAGGATGATCTACCAAGTAAGGAGGAGTCCCATCTACCACTTTCAAATGGAGAGGAGTTTGCAGCTACTACACTAAATATGCAGAGGTGTTTTCCACAGGAAAATACACAGCAACAAAAAGATTTTCTGGAAGTTGTTATAGAAATGTCAGATGTCAATTTACTCATTTCCCTCGGAACCAAAAGGTATATAAGTAGTGAAGACTCAGAAGGCATAAAAAATCCAGTGAGTACAAAAAGTGTCAATCTGAAGCAAAAGAAACCATTAAGACTTAATATTTCAGAAAATGGTAACCTGAGTGAAAGTGAGGAATTGGAGTGCAACACTGGCAGCTTTATAAGAAATATGCATCAAGATGAAAGGACATCTGATGCATTTGATAATGCCACTTACACTACCATTCCTGAACCAACCAATGTGGAAATGCACGGCAGATTAAAAGCCAAGACAGATACATCAACAATAATAATAAAGGGAAGTCATTCAGCATCAAAGCAAGAAAAATTGCCAGATGCAAAGAGAACAAAGAAGGCAAAATATATTCGAAGCTCTGCTTCTAAAAAGCCAGAACAATATGATAGTGAACAAGGGGAAGAAGAGGAACAAGCAGTAGTTCCTCAGGTGACCCCAGACTTCAGGTTCAGCCTACAGCTGAAGCAAAAGCCCAAATATGTCAAATTTGAAATGGAACAAATCTGTTCAGGAAATAGAAAATCTCAAAATAAAGAGCAAGAAATACCATCACAAACTCTTTCTAATCAAACTATTCTGGAGACGAATCCATGCCCCATGATGGATTCATTTCAAGTTGAGAAACTGAAGCAAAACACAGACAGATCTGCAGGCAAAGAAAGTGCTATGGATCATATGAATCTTATCATTCCAGAGAATTTGCCAACTGGTGAATATTTAATTGAAACAATGGCATGTTGGGTCCCCTTTGGTGGAAACCCCAGAAAGACATTGCATGGTCATATTACAGAGGAGAAGGAACACTTAAAAAGAGATTTACCTGCAGTTGCTATGAGGTCTTCTCAAATCAGAAAAGTACTGTCAAGAACAAAAAATATACTCAGTGCCAGGCATGCAATTATGAAAGTAAAGAAGTTAGCAAATTCATTAATGCTTTGTACCAAGAGACATGATGCTCCAAGCCATAGGAAAAAAATGGGAGAGGGTTTTAAAGTTAAGAAGATGCTGCAAGACAAAATTTTGGCAGACGCACTTCTGGATGTCTACCCTCACTTGTCTATTTTGCCTAATGCTAGAATGGATAGCAGATTAAATGCAGAGAAAATCACTCATGTCAGTCTCATACAAGAGAGATCCCATGTTAATAAGGAAAATGAATCTCAAAACACACTAAAAGCTAACTTGCAAGATGAAGTGAATGAGGTCAGAGACCATCTACCAAAAGCAGTCCCTTATGCACATACAATGGAGGAGAGTAAAGCAGAGAAAAAAATGCATCAACCAGTCCCATTTACTGAAGCCATGAAGGAGTCTGTTGAGTCCCTTAGAATGGCTCCACCTCACACTGAAAATTTGAAGAGAAGCCTAGCAACACAGACTGACTTCCAGTGCACAGCAGGCTTGGAGATATCTCCTCCAATATCAGAAAAATCACTAAGGGGAGACCCTTTTGATCAAACAAAAGAAAATAATGTTCCAAGTATTAGGAGTGATACAAGGGAAATGGATCACCATTTTGCAGGAGAAAAAGCAGAATTACCAAAAGATTTACAAGAAACTTCCCCAGAAACTTTTAGTTGCTGCATGCCTGTGCGGTCTGACTCTAAAGGGAAGAAAAACAGAGTAAGATTTGCAAACGTGACAAATACAGTGAAATTCAAATGCATGAAAATGAAGCCATCAGTCTCACAAATTTCCAGTATCTCAAGCCATAGAGAGAAATTGGACTTTAAAAACAAGGTTAAAAAGATAAACCCAATTAAAGACTTGGTACCCGAATGTCTAAACGCCCTCTACTCTCCCATATATGAAACACTGCCAGGAGAGTACTCTCAAGCTCAGATGAAGCAAGGAGAACTGGCAAGTAAAAAGTATATTGATGTCTTTGCTAAGAGTAGTGTAGTCCATGAGAGAGAGGTTTTCCAAGAAGAGGAGGAACAAAAAGCTTCCCTAGAAGTAGCTCCACAGGAGAGCCAACACCTGTGGTCTGATGCATGTCAAATAAAGAAAACCCACCTTGATGAACCAAACCTATCACTGATCTGCTTAACACAGGAGCTACCTATTATTGGGCAAGGCGTGCAGCACCAAGCAGTTTTCCCACAAACTACTTTGGAGGCTAGTCTCAAAAAGGATCCCACAGAAGCTGAATTATGGAAACCCAACCAAATGCAAAATGACATAGAAGTCCCTATGGGTCCTAAGATTCCACCTCTCCAAGCGGGAAACTCATCATGTTATGAATTTAACACAGTGATAAACTGTGGCTTGCCATCTGGTGGAAACCCTAACAGGGAACTAGATTCATATTTTATGCAAAAAAATTCAGAGGTGCCAATGGATGTGCAAGTGACAATCCTGCAGTCTTCTGATTCTGTTATATTACCCTATGTTTCTAAATTTAAAAGGCAGAAAAAGACATTAAGATTAGCAAGGAGGCAAAGACCAGAGAGTCGCAGACTTAGAACTATGAGGGAAATAAAGCCATCAATCTTAAATACGCTTAATGGCAGATATAGCAAGGAACTGCAGAACAATATTAAAATGAAGATGAAAGGCCCACAGCAAAGAGAAAATGCAGCAGATACATTTTGGGACATCATTCTCTCCAAGGTGACCATTTTGCCCAACATCAAAATGAGGAGAAGTTTAACTGTGGGGAGAATAAATGTGCGAAGAATAGCAAGATTTGGTTATATGCAGTTAATGCAAGAGAAATCACTAAGTGGAAGAAAAGTATATTGCCTAGATTCTACTTATATGAGTAGTTTCTCTAACAGATTGAAATGTGGAAAGGAGAGGGAAGGGGAACCTAAAGCTTTACAGCTTCCAGAGAGTAGTCATGGCTTCATATTCAGCACACATCAGAAGAGAGATCATGGCCTTGTTGAATTTGGTGAGAAATTGTATCAACCAGGAAGTACAAATACACAGGCACAACCACAGACAAATCCTACATCAACTATCTGGCGTTCTGTTTCATGCCCCATGCTAGATCAATTTCAATCTGAAAAGCTGGAGACTTGGGTTAGGTTTTCACCTCCAAAATCTAGGGATGCAAAGGTTGTTTCTGCAAAAAAAGGTGGAGCCCCATCTGATGTAAGCTGTCACAAGGAACAGGCTGATAGTAATGAAAATAAAGGAACAGTGGCCGTTCTTTTCTGCACACCAGCTTTATCTACATCTGAAAGGAAGAGAAACTTCAAACAATTTTCAGACATGATAACTAAAGTGAATCTCAAATATGGAACTAGGAAGGCAAAGAAATTACCAGTTTCATACATGCTCAATATCAAGGGTTGTACTAGTCCAAACTGTAGGAAAAAATCAGTAGGGAACTTAACTAAAATGAAAGACATGTATCAAAATAAAGAAGTAGCAGATAAAATGTACTCTTCAGCAACTATTACATCTGATATTAATATGTACAACAAAATAGAAAGAAGAAAACGCACAAGAGAAAAACAACTCAGTTCTACAAAAGTAAAGCAAAGGAATGTTAATTCAGATGACATCAAAGAAACCAAGCTTCAAGATCAAGAGAAAGAAAAACGTAAACAGGAAGCATTATTAAAAGTAATTCCACAATACAGTCAACATTTTGTATTCTATTCAGGCCAGAGGAAGGATCATGACCATTGTAAGTCAAAAAACCAAGGAAGCAGGAAAATTCTGATTGTTACAGAACAAGATGTCCCACAGCAGATTCAATCCACAGATCCAGGGCAAGGACAGAACTTGAAGAAAGACCTCCAGACTCAAAATGGCATGATATATACAAGTTTAAAGATTCCTTTTCTAAACTCAGAGGAATCATCAGTTGGTGAAGATATAATTGGCACAGAAAAATATGGCATCCCAATTGACGGGAAGCATGTGAGGGAACCACACAGCCAAGGTAAAGAGGAAAAAGCAGGGTTTAAAGATGATCTACAGGCAGCAGCTGTACTGGAATCTTCCAGACTCTCCACAATTGATCTACCTGAATCCAAAAGGCAGAGAAAGACATTTACATCTAGAGTCATAAAAAGAAAAATGAGTCCTACAAGGATAATTATGAAGGCAAAAAAAATACCAGTTTCGAAGATATTTAATATTCCACAGAGTGGTTGTCGAAAACATTTTTTATCTCCAAAGACCCTAATGACACAGATTGTTGAATTTTTATCATGCTGTAGCAGCATCATATCTTCTGGGTTTCATATGGTCATACTGGAAGATCCAATAGTAGAGAAAAAGAAAATATCAGCACAGGAAATGCCAGCAATGATTTTGGAGTGTTTGGATTCCTCCACACTTGCTTTACCTGTATCTAAAAGAGAGAGGAACAACTTAATGCTAATGAAAAGGAGACATAAGATGAGACCAAAATGCATCACTCTGAAGGCAAAGAAGACACCATTCTCCCAGACATTTAATATCACAGGACGTCACACACCATGCCAAAGAAGGCAATTCAACTCTGAAACAACAACTAAACAAGGTAAACCTGCGGCAGATATATTCCTAAATGCCACTGGCTTTCTCATGCCTGTGCTGCTTGACACAAAAGTATGTGACAGAGTGGAAGAGACCAAGAGGCTGGGGAATACACAGAGTAGCAATGGGTTACAACAGCAAGAGCAGTCAGCACACAACAAGACAGACCCACATGCACATCTGGGTGACGAGGACACGAGCCCTAATGGCACTAAAGATATAATAGATCAAGGTGGAGAGACAGCCCTGCGGGTGTCCCAGCACTTCAGCTTCAGTGCTCATGGAATAAAGGCAACTAACTTTAAATCAGATCTAGAACTGAAGACTTCAGCAAGCAACAAAATCCCAGACGTCTTTTCTACACCTCTAGAGCTGCAGCATCAAATAGTTGCCGAACAAAGTAGATTAAATTCTATTGCAAATACATTTTCATTTGAGAAGCTACCAAAAAGAACAAAATCACAAAAAGACTTAAAAGATATATGGAGTGGAAAGATTTCATCTCCAATGGCAGAAAAATCAGTTAGTGAACTTTTAATTGATACAACAAATGGTCATATCCCATTTGAAAGAGGCACTGGGAAGGAATTTGCTAGTCTTACTGCAGAGGGAAAGGTATGTTTGCAAAAGGACTTACAAGATAGAACTCTAGAGCCTCTTGATTTTTCCATGCCTACTTCGTTTGAATTTAAAGGGCAAAGAAATGCAGTACAAATTGCTAAATCCATAACTGGGAAAACACAGATGCCATTAGTTTTTGAGAGAAGTAATATCACTAGATATTGTGCCCTTAGTTGTAGAAAGAAAAGGAAACTCATCTTGAAAAACATGACCAAAGAAACATGTCAAGATATATCAAATAAATTTATGAATACCTTTTTTTCCACACTTGTTTCACCTGGCATCAAAATGCATAAAAAAGCTGAATCAACAAGAAGCCCATTAAAAAAAACAAGCAATGTTACACAGTTAAAGCAAGATGAACTGAAAAGATTATATATAGATCCCTCTAATACATGGACTGTGTCAAGCAACACATTAGAAACAAGATGGCAAAATGAAGAAGAAAGAAAGGGCAAAGAAGTTTTACTTGAAGCAAGTCCACAATTCCTGAAGAGTGCAGAAAATAGAAAAGGCCAAAGTCTGCTTATTCCAGAGCAAGATATACAGCAAAAAACAGTTTCAGAAAATACTCTGGAGGTTTTTTGTTCTCCTCTAGTGACTTCATTTCGAATTAAAAATTTACAGAACATTCCACTTCAAAAAAACGTACTACATCAAATAGGTGAAAAGTTTCCATGTCCAAAATCAGAGAGGGCAATATTTGATGAACTTTTAATTGATGAAATAGAATATAATACAATATCTAATGGGGATCCTATGAGGATGCTAGAGGTTCACAGTGCAGCTTCCCCACAATGTGAGGAAAGAGAGAAAAATGTAAGTGCACCAAAAGTTATAAAATACACAGTTGATCAAAATATCCTACCTATCAACTCAGGGAACTTAGTGTTTGGCAATCCATGGGATACAACTTCTTTAAAGAAACTGGGTAGTCATATTGCTAAGAAAGATGATGAGGTGCAAAGAGATTTCCTAACATTGGGAATGGTGTCTTCTTTATCTGATGCCAGAAGGCAGAGAGATGTATTGAAATTTCCAGAAAGTCAAGCTCTCATGAGTCCCAAACGTGTAGCTATGAAGGCAAAGAAGCCTGTTTGTTCACAAATGATGAATGTCATCAAGCATGGCAATCTGTACCATAGGGGGAAAGAGGAATGCAATGTAAAATCTTTGCTAAAAGACAACCAACAAAATGAAAGTAGAGCTCACACATTTTTGTTTCCTTTACCTGTCTCAACTGGTACCAAAGTAGACAGTGAAGTACATAGGTCTTCAAAAACTGAGATGGATGAACCAAGAGTAAAAGTATACCATCAAACCCATCCAGAGTTAGAGAAGTTGCCACATGGAGACACACAAAAAAACGGTTTGACTGGTTTGCAAAACAGACCTAGTGATGCAGTGAAAATGAATGTGCTACACGCAGAGACACAGGAGGATATCTCAGACGTGCCATCGGGGTCTGGTCCACACTGCAGCCAGCACTTGAGCTTCAGTGTATATCAAATGGAAGCCCTTGATTCTCACAAATCAGAGTCTGATCTGAAGAGGTCAGAAGGCAGAAGGACTCAGAATTTGTCCTATATAGCACAGGAAACACACCTTCAAGAAGAAGATGTGTTTAAGAGAAGCCACCAGTTTCAAGAAACTATTTTGGAGCCTATTTCTGGACACACGATAAATTTTCAAGTTGAAACAATGCAAAGAAGTCCTCATATGCAGGAAGAAGTAAAAATTATGGCAGGTCTAAAGACATCATCTCCAAATGCAGAGGAATTAGAGATCATTTCAACAGTGTCTGATTTGTCCTGGGATGGAAATGCTAGACAGAAATACGATTATCCAGTTTCTGGGGAAAAGGCATACAATCACAAAGACTTATTAAGAACATCTTTAAAACCTTTAGATTTCTCCAGCTTTGTATCTTATGAATCTAAAAGTGAGACCTACACATTAGATTTTGTAAGCAAAAAAAGTATACTGAGTCCTAAGCATATAACTTTGAAGGCAAAACAACCACCAATTTCAAAACTGCTTAATATCTCAAGGTATCCCATGGGAGGCCATAGAAAGAAAAAGTACAACATAAAGCACAAGCTGAGAGAGGTGCAGTGGTATGCTAGTGTCAGAGAAGTATTACTTGAGGCCTCTGAAGATGCTAAGAGTCTTCCCCTCAAATTAATGATTGATAAGCTCTCATTGGATACAACTGTGAGGGGCATCCAGTCCAACAGAACATTTCAAAAAACTGTGGTAGGTCATATTCCAGAGGAAAAGGCAGAGTTAGAAGAAAATGTAACCAAAACTTTGTTGGGGCCTTCTGATTTTTTCATGCCTGGTTTCTTTGACTCTAAAAGCCAGGCAAGCACAGTACAATTGTCAGAAAATGAAACTATATTGAATCCCAGGTGTTTGGCTACAGAGGAAGAGAAGCCACCAGTTTCACAGATACTTAAAAGCATTAGACACTTTGGCACAAAACATAGCAAGAAATTTAAATCTAGTTTAAGAACCAGCATGAAAACAATGTGGCAAGGTAGAAGCATGACTGGCACATTTCCAAGTACCCGTTGCTTTGCACCAAATACCTCTGACATTAGAAAGCAATGTAAGTTAGAAATGGAGGCAGACGTGGCAGTACCAAGGTTTAGTCACACACAGCTAACACAGCAGTCGCCAGCCGGAGGCCTGTCACATTCCAATTCCATTGACCAGAGCAGTGCCTCCAGCTTTTTAAGGGAAACAGAATTACATGATGGAGAATGTGGGAAAGAGAAAAGAGAACCTCCAATAAAAACTGACTTATTCTACATAAAAAGCTTAACAATAAATGCACATCCCATAAAAGTACCCGATCCTGGCAAATCAGAAGTCATTCTTCTAGGAAAATCATTTTTCCCCAAAAAACAGGTGTATGAAGGGGATCCAGGAAAAAATGTCAAAATAGAAAACATAGAAAATGTGCAAGCAAGTTTCGGAGTTGGACACTCCAAGATGGAGAAACCACATATTTTTGCAGATTTAAGTGAACCAAAAGATGATGCTGTATTTAGTCAATATGATCAAAAGGGAATTGACCAATCTGTTTTAAAAGAAAAAGCTCCATACCATTTGGCTGGAACCATAGATTCTGTTGGCAGGCATTTAACTGTGTCAGAAGGAATTGAAAGACAGATTGACAATCTAAACATAGTTATCACAAGTCCAAAAGGCATAATATCAAAGGTAAAGCGATTGGCAGTTTCACAACCACTTAATCATGCAGGTCATGCTGCTCTAAGCATTACTGAGAAACCGAAGTGGAATTTTGAAACCCAAAAGATAAAAGTAGAGAGACAAAAGGCTGTACCAAGTACTGAAGTAAAATCTGTATATGCCTCTATGCCAATGCTACACGGTGCTACATATGCCAGGGATACATGTGAAAAATCTTCGAGGGGAAATGCTCCTAATAAAGCAGAAGTTAGGGAGAAAGAGGAGTATGGACAACAGATTTTGTCTAGATCAGCTCCACAGGATATCCAGCCAGTTGAGTTTGGAGCAGATCAATTGAGAGAGCCTGATCCTTTCAGCTCAGAAGCACCTTCAGTCAATAGAGTGTGCCCCAAGATGACCACTTCTCAGAAAACAGAAATTTATTTAATAGATCAAGAAGCAGAGAGAAAACCTGTGGAGTTGCTTAGTCCAGAGTTGGTTTCTTTCTCTAATGTAAATCCTCTTCAAATTGGAAACCAGAAGAAAAAATCCAAGACTGCAAATGGTGAAACGGTAACAAATCTCAAGACATTTGCCCTGCAAGAGAAACAGCAAGAGCCCAAAGAAAAATTTAGGGAAAAAGAGGAATATGAACAACAGATTTTGTCTAGAGCAGCTCCGCAGGATATCCAGCCAGTCGAATTTGGAGCAGATCAATTGAGAGAGCGTGATCCTTTCAGCTCAGAAGCACCTTCAATCAATACAGTGTGCCCCAAGAAGATCACTCCTCAAAAAATAGAAATTTGTTTAATAGATCAAGAAGAAGAGATAAAACCTGTGGAGTTGCTTAGTCCAGAGTCGGTTTCTTTCTCTAATATAAATCCTCTTCAAATTGAAATCCAGAAGAAAGAATTCCAGACTGCAAACAGTGAAACAATTACAAATCCTGAAACCTTTGCCCTGCAAGAGAGACAGCAAGAGCCTGTTATTTCAGGAAATATCTCAAGTTCTCCTTATGCCTTCATACCCATGTATCCTAAAATTGTAAGACACAATTGTACGGTGGAAACAGCATATGTGAAAAATGCTAGACATACCAAACAGGTACGACTGAAGGCAAAGAAAAGACGAGTTTCCTGGATGCTTGGATGTGGTTCAAGAAACAATAAGGAGGAGCAGGGAGGAAACATTCAGCAGGAGAAAGCATTTCAGTTGAGTAAAGCTGCAACAAACCCAGTTCTGAAAGCTGATTTTGACTCTCGATCCCCTGTGTCTTCCAATAAAAAGCCTATAGAAATAAAAATGAAGAAAGACAAGTTGAAGAAGGGGGTAAACATTTTTTTACAGCTAATGCCAGAGAAACCACTAAGCGACAGGCAGATATCATTGTCAGAATGTGTTGACATGGCCGGCATCATTGAAAAACCAGAAGAGAATATTAGAAAAGAACAAACCCACCAATGTACTTTAGTAGACATGCCCCAGCAATACCTACAACAATTACCGATTAGGTCAGAACAAATGAAAAGGCATCCTCATGTCAAATTAGAATATTTGGAAAGAAAGGTGTGTCTTGAGCCCATTTCACAGAAAGATGAAACTGATTACATTGGACTTGACCATGACAAATTAAAAGTTGATTTGGAAAAAGAAATACACCCTGTTATATTTTCACAGAAGAGAGAAATTAGTGGTGGTAGGCTCAGAAAACCAAGAACAGATACAGAACTTGATTTCTTCACTGCACAAGGAGAGAAACAAAGAATTGCAGATGTTGCTGCACATTCAGTTTCAGTTCCACCCAGGAAAGAAAGAGCAAAGAAAACAGATATTTCATTAAGTTCAGAAGGACAGAATATATTTACTTATAAAAAGCCAGAATCACGGAAACAAGAAAGTACTTTCCTGGTAGACATGGAATCTGTTTCCTATCCCATTAGAGAACCTCTTCATTTAGAAAACACAGGACAGGTAGCTAAGGAAGATATGCATGTTAACAGAAAAAATATTTCACATCTATTGGGAAGAAAAGAATTAAAGGAAACAGATATCTTAATAGATTCCAAAGGACAGAAATTTCTTTATTCAAAGCTAAAGGATCCACTCAAAATTTGTGCAGAGCAGAGAAGACATGTGAAACCAAGTCATACACCTGAAAGTATGGATTCTGCATCTTGCCCCAGTAAGGACCCTCTTCGTTTAAAACAGGCAGTAAATACAAGGAAAGAAAATGGTAGGCTCTCTCGAAGTTTCAGTGTAAATCAACGGGGAAAAGAACAAACAGAATTAACTGATAATCTATTAAAATTAAATAGACAGAAAGTGGACTTTTCAAAAAAATTGAGGGCAAGGCAACTGACTACTTATAACCAGCACAAAGACAAGATTTTAGAATCTATTTTCTCTCACACATTACATCATCTTCATATTGAAAATGCAAAGAAACAAACCTCAGCAAAAGCAATACTAAAGTCAGAAGTCTTGAAAAAAGCATCAGATGAAGTGAGTGTTCTGGAAGATCAACCTCCATGTACAGAAGGAATTAATCTGCCTATTACAGGAACAGAAGAACATCTACAAGAGAGTATATGCACGGTTTTTCCAACATCTGTTACTCATCCTCTGATGGGTACACATCAGTTTAATTTGCAGGTAAAGAGAACATTAAATGCAAGAGATAATCCATGCTATCACACTTTGACTACAGAAAGAAAACAGCAAAAGAAAAAAAGTATGTATAAGGCTCTTCCACAGTCCACATCTGAAAATGATAGTCCAATGCTAGATGCTGTAAATATCATGCATTGTGACTCTTCAGCTTCACAGATGAGGAAAACATTAAAGCAAATGGATGTTACAAATGGATATACTCAAAAAAGGAAAGAAGCACCAAAACAGCAGGACCTATCAATTTCCTATGAGAACTTGAAGGAGCGAATGTTTTACCCTCAAAAGTATCCCTGTCTCTGGCCACATTCAATTCCTCTAACAAGAGAGGTATTAGCAGAAGTGGGTAGTGCATTAAGCAGGGTAGAAGGACAAAATCTGTTTTCTACAGATCAACCAAGCACTGCATATAAGTGTGGACTAGAACAGAGTGTGTCTCCAGTTACTCCAAGGGACATGAGAAAACAAGACAAAATGCCTGTAGAACAAAGCACAGAAGCTAAGAAACACATGACTGGTTTATTTTCAGAAAAAAAGCCATCATCATATGGGGCACCAGTAACAGAGACAATATCAAATGGAAGTTCATCCAAACTAAGAGTTGGAATGAAGGTAAAATCACATAGGGGAATTCCAGGAAAGGTGCACCTACATAGAATACTATTACATTCTCTGTCTATATGTATGTCTGTTTTGCGTGAAAGTCAAAGACAGAAGGGTAGCCTAAAACAAGGTGTTAAGAAAGACATAATATGCCCCAAAAGAAAAGCTCTAGAGTTGAAGAATCTCTCCAGTGTCACTCACTCTGATACCCCAAGCAACAGAGTAGAAGGGCAGTGGAATGTAAAAGAGAAAACAGTAAGTACAAGACCCAGAAAGGGTGATCCAGATTTGGATGTGAAAAAAACATATCAGCCCATGCTTTCTTTACCTCACTTCAAATTGGATAAAGAAAAAATCGATGGGACTACTTCAAATGTAAAAAGAAGGAAACAACATATATCACAGGAAGAGAAGGATAGAGTGAAAGCTCTGGAAATGGAAGAAAAAATGAACCCATACTTCACAATGAAGTCAGAGAAATCACTGTCACATATGCTCAACAGAAAGGACTTGTCACTGTTGAAGATTATAAAACCAGAAAGCAGGGTACAAGAAGATAAAGGTAAATTGGATGTGGATCTAAGACTCTCCTATGCTTCTTTACCATCTCTGTCACATTCTAATTTGAATCCTAGGATAAAAGTAAGAAAAGATAAATCAAGAATACCAAAGGGCTGCCTTCCACCACTAAAGCCCCAGGCATCGTTAAATATCAGAAGAATATCATATTTGGAGTCAATGACTCGATATCGCTTCAATAACATAATGGAATCAAAATGTTTGCTACAGAAGAAAAGGAGAGGTAGAGGAAATATAGTAGATCTGAAAGATATAATTGGCCTCATATATATCATTCTGAAGGGAAAGAATTCACCTTTTAAACACTTAGTGAATAGGAAGGAATTACAGTGGTCCAACAAAAAAACAAAGAAAATTATGCAGGAGGATAAACAAAATCAAGACATAATTCAGAATGAACTCTGGGATTCCATTCCTCCACCTCACCCAGAATGGGATCCTACAATAAAAGATCTATACATGCAAGGAATCGTAAGGTTCTGTCTTCCATTATTGACACTCCAGGAATTGTCAGATGGAACAGAACTATATGAGGAGCCAATTGATGATGTCTTAAGCAGTATAAAAAGAGCAAAATACATGCAAAATATATATCCTACCCCCAACAGTGTAAAAAATGCTGTAGTAGTTACAATGCAGAAAGAAGAGGAAAGTGTAAAAATGGAAAAAGTAATGCTTTTGAAAGAAAGAAAATCATTGGCAATTTCACAGGAAATTCAGTTAGACATCAAAGAGCAAGATAAAAATCTGCCAAAAGTTAAAGATGAATCAAATGAGATTTTGACCAGTACTGATACATACATACCACCACCTCATTTAAAATTGGATATGAGGAGAAGAAAAACAAACCATGGAACTGAGGTGAGAAGATACTTTCTTCCAGAACTATCCTACCAGAAATCATCAGATGCAGTGAGAAAACCAAGCAAAGAGTCCATTGAGGGTGATATCACAAGTGGTACACAAAAATTAAAAGAATTTATGCCACAGACAGAAAAGGATGATGTAAAGAAATTAGCTGAGAAATGCACAATGTATCCAAAAGCCAAAGGTTTGGAAGGAAATGGAGCACTTTCACAAGACCTACCACCAAATTCTAAAGAGCAAGGGAAAACAGATCCAGAAGGCAAAAGACAAGGGAAAGTCGACAAAGGTCGTCAAGAACAGGGGAAAGCAGTTGCAGCAGGTAAAGCCCAGGACAAATGGGATCAAGAAGGCAAAGGTCAAGGGGAAGTGAATCAAAACAATAGAAAGCAAGGAAAAATAGACCAAGAAAGTGGAAGTGAGCAGGAAATGGTTCCCCATGTACATATGCCTTCCGAACCTCCTCTGATTTATCATAAGGCAGGAAAAGAAGATACGCACAAAATAACAAGATCTCATATTTCACCATTACAGGACCAAAAATTATCTGACAGCAGGCAGATGATGCATACAAAATCAACTGGGGAGGAGAAATCACATGATGTAAAACCCATACAAAAATACAAGGCCCAGAAAGAGATGGAGAGAAAAAACACAGTAAATATGAAACATAGAGTACACCCTGAGGATGTGACTTTCAAGGCAGATCAATTATCACTTCCACATGAACCCAGTATCACTGGCCATGGTGACCCAAAAACTAGAAGACAGACAAACGTAAATGAAAAATTGGGACGTGTACAGGAAAGAAAACATGAACTAGATGAGGTACTTCCTTTACCTCACTGTAAATCAAACAAAGGGATAGAAGTCATAGAACAAAAACAAAAAGTATCAAGGTCCTTTCTTCCCCCTTCATACCACATGGAATCTACAGTTGTAGGGAAATTGAATTATAAAGTGTCACCTTTGAAAGACATCTCCAGTGATTCAAGAAGAACAAAATGCATGACACATGGAGAAGAGGATAAAGAAAATGTTTTAAAGAAAAGCATAATGTATCCCAAGGACACATCTGGGAAGGCAAAGGAATCACTCCTTGATGATATATTGAAAATAAAGAAACTGCAGGTGAACATCACACAGCAAAACAAACAGAGACGGGAAGGAAATGAGGATACAGATGTTCTTCTCAACCAAACTTACTCTTTTATCACTTCTTTACCTCTCTTTGAATTAGACACAATAAAAGAAGAAGATGAACCAGGAAAACTAAAAAGTTATGTACCACATCCTGTGCTGCATGTATCATTTCCTTCAGGACAAATAAGACTTACAGAGTCCATTTCTAGCTGTGCAAAGAAAGAAAGCCATGCAAAGCCAAGAAAACAGTGTTTATCACAGGAGGAAGGCAGAATACAACCCTCAGCCACAAGGGGCTTGATAGGCCCCAGTGGCACAGCTGTCCAGGCAAAGACCTCAGCATCTTCTCATGTGGTCAATATCTGTGAGCACAGTGCTCTGCGCAACACTCAGGAAGCGCAGGGGGGCATTATAGGAAAAGTAGGACTGAAACAAGAAAAAACAAGAGATCCTAATGTGGTTCAGGCAGAAATATGTCCTTCCATACCATCTCCATCTCACCACAGAGTTGCTCCTTCACAAGCAAAGCTTCCTCAATTATTAGATATAGGGAGAATTGGACATGCTGGTTTTCGTGAAGGTGTTAGCTCACGTAATATAACATTAGGAGCAAAGGGGCGTGTGCCATGCAGAGAGGTAAGGGACAAAGTGAAAGTAAAAGGCAGAGAAAGTATTATAATAAGTGTGAGAACAGAGGCATCCCCGCATCCACATCTATACGATAGAAGGAAACTACCTTTGAATATTAAAAAAGAAAGGAAAGGAGAGCAAGAAGGCAAAAGGGAACCAGGAGTCGTTCTGAGGAAAAGCTCTTTACCTTTTCCATCTTACCTGGAGCAGGACACTAGAATGAAAAAACAGGAAAGAACCCTTGGAAGAACACAGTTCTCTTTTCCACCATTAACGACTCAAGATGCATCAGATTCAGATAAAAAATCATGTACCGAGTCATTAGATAGTTACATGTTGAGCAGCATTAAAGAATCAGTACAGTCCATAGCACAGCAAGAAGAAAAAGATAGATTCAAAATAGACATAAAAGACATCAAGCTCCCCAAATATGTGATGGTACAGAAATCATCACTTTCATATTCACTCAATAATAAAGCACTGCCATGGAAAACCAAGGAACAAAAAGAAAAAATGCAGGAATATAAAACTAAACTACTGGTGGGTCTGGCAAACAGAATTATAAAATCATGTCTCTCACTTAGGCAGTTCAAGGAATCAAGTACAGGGAGACTAGCATATCCAGAAACAATTGATGGAAAACTTTCAAATGAGGTAGAAGAATTAAAAGAACATATGCTACAGAAAGAAAACGAAGGAGAAAAAGTTGTGGGTATGAATGTCATAGTGGATCCCAAGGACACTTGTTTGAAGACAAAGAAATCATGTATTTTACATACACAATTAGGTAACCTTCAAGGGAAATCTAGAAAGCAAGAGGAAAAGGTTCTAGACGTTAAAAGTGAGGCAGATATAGTGCCCAATGAGACTTCTGCTGAATCTCCACTTCTGCCTGATGTGAATTCTGGGATCAAGGAAGAAAGCACACCAGCGTGGGCAAGATCCCTTTTTTCCATAGTAAACTTCCAGGAATCATTGAATTCTGAAGGAGGCATATGTATAAAGCCAATTACTGGTGATATTTTAATTTGTCTACCAAAAGGAAAACATCATGTCCAACAGAATGAGGAAGAGGATGGAGTACAAATAATAAAGTTCATGTTCCCCAAATGTCAAGAAAGGAAGGTGCAGAAACGTCCAGAGGAACCTTCAGCTTCATTGCCAACTCTGCCTCAGCGCAAGTTGGATACCAAAGTAGAAATAGATGATGAACTGCTAAGACTTCCAAGGTCTGCTTTGCCAAAAATATCAAGTGCAGGGAAAACAGTACCTACAGGGTCAGTTGGTAATGATACCATGAAAGATGTTAAAGGTGAAAAACAACATATGCTTCAGAAAGAAATGATAGATAGAGGGAAAATAGTAGGTAAGGGAAGCATAGATATATCTTTGAAGTCAAAGAAATCACCTTCTTCCCATAAACTCCATAGATCAGAACTGCATATGATTGTCAGAGGACACAAAGGAAAAGAACATGAAGGTCCAGGTGAACCACAAGGTATAGTCCCGAGAAAAATTTATGCTTTCAAACCTTCTCCACCCAACCCTAAACTGGATAAAGATACACAAGTAAATGAAGAAGAACTTGGAAATAAAACATTTCTGTTGCCACTAATGTGTTCAGCACTATCAGATGCAGAGAAAATAGCACATACAAAGGCAATAGGTGGTGATGTAAGGCAAAGAGACCCACAGATGTCATGGAAAGAAAAAAGGTATGAACTGAAAACAGTAGATATGAGGATCGGGGTGCATTACAAAGAGGCAAGGATTTCACCCATTTCACATATCCTTAATATGAAGGAGTTTGTACTGAATATGAAGGTGCTGGAGAAAAAAGTGCATGAAGGAAAAGATGAATCACGTGTGGTTTTGACAAGGACTTTTCTTTCCATACCATCAGCACCTCTCCTTTCTCCGGATTCAGGGAACAAAGTAGAGGAAGTCTCAGCAAGAATGTCAGGACCCTCTCATTCACAACAGAATCTCCAGGATTTATTAGATGCCCAGAAAAGAGCGTTCAGAGAATCAGTTGAAGATGATAGTAAAAACACCATGAAGCAAAGGAAACAGGGTGTGCCCCAGAAAAAGGCGGAGCAACAGGGGGCCTCAGACTTCATGATTGGAGCCCAGCAAAGGAATGACGCACCACAGGTTAAATCAGAAAGAGATTTAATTTCAAAAGATGAGAACGTTAATTTCACAAGATTTGGTACAACACAAAATGAGAGAAGAGTGGAATTGCACTTTACAGGACAAAAGGCTCAACCAGAAAGATGCAGAGAACCTTATGGTATGTTTTATTCCTACCACACAATGGATGCAATTAAAATTGGAAATCTGAAGAAGAAAACTGAAATAACATGTAACATAAATCAGAAAGTAAGTCCTAGGGTTTCAGCTTCCCTGCCAAGGGAAACATCCAAGGAAATATATATCAAATTTGGCACCCACATAGGTTCAAAAGGAATTTCTTTTCCAGAGAGAGATGCCCACCAACAGGAAATTTCATCAGAAGTGTCTCTAGAATATGTGGATTCATGTGAATTTGATATGCCAGAGAAAGATGTACAAAGTAATAATAAAATAAGCAAAATGTTTTCTCCCAAAGTGTTAGCACCACAGACAAAGCAATCACTTGAAAAAATAAATCGCACCAAGTTAGGTACATCTCAAAATAAAGAACAAGGCGTTATCATGGAAAAGCAAGCAGTGCCGTTGTCTGAGAGTACACAGGAGACCAGGCCAAATTCTGTGTTTTCTCTTCAGTCTCCACTTCAGGATGGAAAGCACAAGACACCGTTGGAAATAGATGTAGACAAAAAAACTACAGCAGACTCCAGCCCACAAATATTACCAGGAATCCACGTGGATATTACAGAGTGTGATGACATGACAGGAAAAGAAAGTCAGGCATTACTGGTTTCAGAACAAGAGCAATGTGTTATAGAGTCCTTTAACCCACTCTGTACTTTTCAATTTCAATCTGAACTTCTGGTGGAAGAAGGTGAAGTTAACACAGTACATTTGGAACAGAAGTTAGAGATGGCCAGTGACATTACTGTGAATCAGGAAGAAGGGAAATTGAAAGTACACACAGAGAGAGCTATACAGCTGAAAGAGAACAAAATGGAAATGCACAAGAATAATTCTGTCAGTCTGGAGAAGGAGGACACAGGATCAGCCTCAAACCGTCCTGCAAGCCTTCATGATTTATCTCCAAGAACAGAGGAGTCTCAGAGCCAGACTCCGGTAATCACACCTAAGGAAAACATCCGCCCCATCAAGCAAAAGCACAAAGAGGAACTAGGGTTGTCTAAGGTAAAAGAAAACATTCAAGTACAAAAACCACTTCAAAGAAACACTCTGGATTCACTTTATGCCTATATTCCTCTTTCCTTCAAAGGCCAGAAAGGCAAGTTGACAACTGCAGATCTGGAAAGAAAACTAAACCACAGACACTTAACTATGAAAGTCCCAAATCACCCAGTTTTACAGATTCTTGGTTCCATAAGACGTAGTTCTCCAAGCAATAGGATGAAATTGCAATATGAGTTTAACAAATCAAATAGAGAAGTTTCTTGGGATAAAGATGCCCCAGGAATATTTATCAGACATCTTCGTATTTCCATGAAGAGTCCGCCACAAAGTGAAGAAACTGTAAAATCTAAGACAAACCAACAACGGGAAAAGAGAGTTTGTCTTTCTAAATTCCGGGGGCAATCACCAAATGCTGGTGAAATTGTCAAGAGAGACACCTCAACAGTTGTAAAAAGGGAACGAAATTTTAAAGACACAGTTCCCCAGAAGTCTCAACCCTTTGCAGTGCACAAACAACAAATGCAGAAGCATTCTCGTGGTAAGTCAGAAGCAAGCCTCAAGAGTAAAACAAGTAGGAAAAGAGAAGTCAGTAAAAAAACAGGTCAGAAAACTCCACAAACTGAGAAAAGGATTATTCCAAGTCATGATGCCCCAAGGAGCATAAAAAAACCTGATTCACATATGATTGAGCAAGAAGAAAAGATACCAAAATGCATTCTGACACCCACAGAGCATCCATCCATGTTTAAAGGTCCAAAGGAGATTGTGGAGACTCACATGAGAAGGACCATAAGTGTGAATGATCCATCTCTAGAGGAGGAAGAACCACAGTATGAGACTCCTCTTGATGCCAGGGGGTGTTCTTTGTTTCCTAAGCACAGAGATCAGGGTGAACCAGCATGGGACACCACCTCCCAAGAGGTCCAGCAGCAAGTAGCTGTTCCAGGAACTGTGCCCACATCACTGCAAGTTACAAGTGACGAGACCAAAACACCTTCAAGTGCTACAAGTGCAGAAAGTTTATTTTTCATTTATGAAGCAATTAAAGCTGCCCTTGACTTCCAGGTAAAAAGTATGATCCAAGACAACGTTTCTTCTGAGAAACTGGACAAATTGCAAGCCGGGAAGTCTGATGACTCAATGTCACCCCCTTTTCCAGAGAGTCCAGATACAACATCAACAATAGTGAGTTCCAAACCGCAGCACAAACCCCTTTTAAGACATTTTAATCCTGAAAATAAAAATAAACTCACCAATCATTTGGGGTCAAAAGCACTTGAAATAAAACTGAGTCTGATGCCAGAGGTGGCAAAAAAATCCTTACAAATGTTTGACTTTTGTCCCAGAGAGGCTATTCCTGAAAATAACAGTTGGAGGCTCTATCCACGGCATAAACAAATGAGTCTTATGTGTCCAGAAGGGGTGGATAGTGTAGAACTTAACTTAAAACATGATTACCAAGAAGATTCACCTCCTCTCAGCTGTATGAAGACACTGCTGGTTAATGTTTCAAGCAGCAGCAATGAGCTCATTTCAAAGTTAAACAGTATTAATAACCTAGAAAGTGAGATGTCTTCAGTGATTTTGACTAGTGAGATGCCACTGCTTCATATTCTCCAGAAGTACTCAGTCAAAGGTAAAGACAAACTTGTCATGCACTTTTCTATGAAAATATTGGAAATACAAATGAAAGCCCTTCCCAGAGTTGTAAGAGAATCTTGTGCAGTGGCCACTGCCCAGGATAGAACAAAACCTTTATCTAACTGTATTCATTCTGTCAAAGTCCCAAAGCGTAAAAACAGAATTTTCTTACTTTTTGAAGAAAAATCTCTTCATCAAATTGATCTTGATTTACAATACAAATACCTCCGCTTTCTGCTGGGGCTTTCTGATGAGAGTATGTTCCCCAAGCCAAATGCACTTCCTAAACACATTCTTAAACTAAACCCGATTTCAATATGTAAAAAAGCAGGTGATGGTAGAGAAAGCCATTCTCTTTCCTTTGACACAGAACTGTTAGAACAGCATATTTCTTTTAAAAAGCAAAACCCCCACAAAAACTCATTACACTTCAGAAAGTTCTTGGAGCCATCCCATACGTGTACCTCTGACGCCGGTCTACCCAGTAGGGAGCAGAAAGATTCTAGGGCTATTTCTGAGCTCAAATCTGACATGACTCCAGAAAAAGATAAACAATACAGTATGTGGTTTCAAGAAACAAATACATATAAGCCTTTTAATTTAAGGATGCAGGAGAACGATACTGGTTTAGTTAACTCGCATTCCACTCAGACTTCTGAAGATTATACTGATATTCAGATAAATACTGAGAGTTCAGCTAACCTGGACAAGTGCTTCTCCCCAGAGACACGTGAGAGTCAGGAATGTATGTTTTTAGAAACCAACCCTTACTTAAGTCGGGAGTCACAAAACGTTCTCTTGGAATTACAGAAAGGCATTCCTTTGAAAAATTTTTCTAAGATGAAAGAAGTCACAACTTACTTGCAGCAATTTTGCAGGGAAGATTTGGGCTCCCATCATATTAGAGCCTGTAGGAAACATACATTTCTCATGAAACCACCTTCCTGTGAAAAGCACAGAAGCAGGAAATATAGATCAAATATATTCCAAATGCAGCCTCTTGATTGTTCTCCCAGCTCACTTAATACTGTGGACATTCAGTCTCTGTCTCCTTCCATCTCACTCAGAGAGGAGCAGCTTTCGTGGACGTCAGGGAGCAGGACAGGGTACTCTGTAGCTTCCTTAACTGAGTCAAATATGAAATTACATCTTGAAAATGACCAAGACAAGTCTCACATGTACCTGGAAAGCAAAGAAAGAAAGAAAGCCAAATTTGATTTATTCAGAAAGAACAACATTCATCAGGACCATAACTACATTCATACACCAGGTAAAGAGATACACACAAGAAAGAGGAAAGTGTGTAATTATGACTCACAAGGATCAACTTATTCCCAAAGCGAACATAGATCATCGTCAAAAACTCATCACATGGGTATTAACTTCCATTCTGACAAAAAACAAGACCAGCCCTTCTTTTATGCCTGTGTACCAGCAGATTCACTGGAGATTATACCCAAAACCATTCGCTGGACTATTCCTCAAAAAACCTTAAGGAAGGGAAACTTCAGAATTCCACTGGTGGTAAAGACTTCAAGTCCTTGGAGTATATGGAGCTCATCCAAAAAGTTGTTGGAGTCACTGTCAGGGTCCTTTAGTACAGTTCATCAGAGTTGATATGTCATCATATCTAGATTCCTCTGGATTGGAACTCTGGTCACTTGGTGGTATTCCATGACAAATAAAGTAATAGAATGTCAAATGATGTCCTCAGGAAGTGTCTTCTCAGTTGTTGGCTTTATTTCCACAGCAGAGTTTGCGTGTGTTCTGGCAAGCCAGGATGGAAGAGCAGGTGACTTTGGGTTCAGTCCTACCATGTCCAAACTCTCCTTTTAGTTGATGCTGCTGCCTGACAATCCTAAGAGGAGTGGTCCGCAGCCTAGAAGCCGTTTCACCCTACACCATTGACTGAAGGGCCCGTGGGAGGAATTGTATCCCATGTATGAGATGGAGACTGTTTAGAGAGTAAGGAGAGAAGGAGCACAGAGGCTGAAGGGGGAGTGTTTCAGATGGCAGTGAGGATTCCAGTGTCCAGTGCCACAGAATAGAGAACAAATACTGAGTTATGAGCACTGAGTTTGACAACCAGATGGAATATCTTATACTAACAATTCTAGAGAACTCTAGGGGTGTGTGTGTGTGTGTGCATAAACACACATACACACAATAGTGTGATAGACTTGTATGTACCAATTTACTGGATTGCAGACTATCACCCTATAGCAAACCTGCATTGTTCACTTCTCATCAATTCTCCTCCACTAGTATTTTGAAACATATCCTAGATATGTTATTTAGTCCATATTTTATTGCATATCTCTGTAAACTATTTTTTTAATATTTATTTTTTGGTTGACACAATATCTTTATTTATTTTTATGTGGTGCTGAGGTTCAAACCCAGGGCCTCACATGTGCTAGGCGAGCACTCTACCGCTGAGCCACAACCCCAGGCCCTGTAAACTATTTTTAATATAACCATAATCACATCTAAAAATACAGTAATTGCTTCTTAAAATCCAAATAGAATACACAAGTGTTACAGCATAATTTAAAATGTATTCTTTCGGAGATTGCCTGTCACAAAATAGAACAAATGAGGCTATTTCAGTAGCCTGATTTCTTACCATAAATGATACAGGAGGATTGAGTGACTGGTTCTTATGTTGTGAAGAACCGTCACTAAAATATCAAATGTCCATTTGTCAAAAGGGAAAAAAAGTTTAAAACTTGAAAATAAAATTAGATACAAAGAGGTGTATTTATTCAGAGCAAGAGAAGAAATCACACATTTCAATTTTTATAAAGCTGATTGAACCAAATACATTGTAAGTCCAGAAAAATAACATCATAGTTAGCTGCGGGATAGTCATTTGCCTATATTTTTTGACTATTTGATCACCTTCATAAAACAATTTTGAAATGTCACTTATGTAAAGATCAAAAGTAATCTGGTCTTCTAGTGGTTGATAGATGTTATTTATCGTTGATGATTTAGAAAATTCAGGCGCGCTCACTAACTCTGGCAACTTGGTATCTAGAACCATCAGACTTCATTAGAATAGGAGATGGCAGATGTGGTAAAGCAAACCAGTAAGTTAGATAGCATCAGCTATGTGACTTCACCCGCAGATGTCCTTGCTACTTGTGGTACTGCCATAGATTTGTATCTAACAAATAAAATTCTGGTCAATCTACACCATGAAGTTCTCGTTTAAAAAAAAAATATGTAGTCAACATATATCGTAAATATTTTCCTGTGAGAAGAGAACATGCATTTTGACTAGATGTCAAAGAGAAAGATTTAGCAGCTTATAATTTCACACATCTGATGAATGACTGCATCTTCCAAAGCCCACTTTCCTAACCTAGATCTTCTTAGCTACCCACCTTCCTCCAGTTCCAAGTCCTGTAGGAAGCGTTCCCCCTATGACATAGCCCAGCTTGCACTTTTGTGTCCCTCCCTGGGATGTGTTCTTCGCAATGAAGGACTCCTAGAAGCAGTTTCTATACCCAAATATGTGAATGTCAATCACATTATTATATAGCCCACCGATAAACCAAATATATCCTAACTCAGCTTGCTCTGAGCTCAATCCCAAAATGTTTGCAACTTCTCCAGCCTCACCAGACATGAAACCAGATGTGGAGGATAAGTCAAAGTAAAAAGAGGTAATGCTTTTAACTAAGGGCAGTGAAAATATTTTACAAATCTGTGAGGCCTAAAACTCGAACTCGTTTAGCTTTTATAGTATAGATGCTTTTGAAAATCAGATAACATTAGTTTATTAATTTCCATATTTCAGCAACAGTTTTTCAAATATCTACCATGTGCCAGACCTTGTCCTGAGCATTGGACCTAACCAACATTAACAAGCACAATCTTGACTTGGAAAACTCAGGAGTTGGGTTAGGGAAGAGAAGCAGACATTCTCCTGAAAGGCTGATCCCATTGTAGACAGACAGACACACACACACACACACACACACACACACACACATCGACATAGCCAGCTGCCATCTCATTACCACACACATAGGTGTTGCTGGTATCTTAGATGGAGAAAAGAAAGCAGGTCTGAGGCCACAATTATTTAGACTAAACCATCTGTCAAGAATTACAAATTTGGAATGGATGTTGACAAAAGGATGAATATCCAAATCGAGTCTTCTTTTAGAGACGCAAGATTCCAGCGAACAGAGGTACATGTTTCTTCTTGGGTTTAAATACTCAGAGTAGATGGTGGTGGTGTAGCCATATTCCATTAAAACAGAAGTGATACTAATGCTCAAGTTTTAAGGTAATGAGGAAAGTTGCTGGGGTGAGGTGGAGAGAATGTTTGTCATGATTTATACATTGAAAGTTTTAGATTTGGGTCTGAGATTTCCTGCTGCACACAACTACACCCCTCACGGGCTTTGACTCATTACTTGGAAGAAATAGAGAAAGCAACAAGAATTCATCTGTAAGTCAGAGATTCCCAGATGTTCTCAGTTAATAATGATTCAGAGTCATATTTTTCTATTGTAGCTACAGGCCAAAATAAATAACAATTAAGTAGCTAAATCCAAACAACTTAATGAGAATTTATATCTTAGCAACTTAGACTATTTGAAAAAATAAATTTAAATTAAATTTTTAACAATTTAATACTTAATTACAATTACTTAGTGTGGGGTATGTGAGCCTGTTGGATGCCACACAGCTCCTCAAACTTTGGAATCAGATTGTGTATTCCACACTAATTCTTGTGCAGTATTTTCTTTTATTTTATCAATGGCTGAAAACTCAGTGTGAGAAGAGAATTATGTAACAGAAGGAATGTGGAACAATCTGATTATGCAGTAGAGCAACCTTGAACTAGCAGTTCATGCAGTGTCCAGCAGGTGCCGCTGTGTTCCCCTCACAAGTCAAACACTCCACATCATCACAGGGCACACATTTGGAACCCTGGTCTTCAATTTGTTTCTATGCTCTATTTTCTGTATTTTTTTTTCTAAGAGCAAGTCTTTAAGAACAATAGGATAATGAGGGGTGGTATGAGTGAGGGAAAGTGAAAATTCAAAGGATGAGAGACTGAAGCCAGATTCATTGTTTTCTGCCATCATATTACACACAGGCACTGTAATTGAAATCAGTTTATATTTGTGACAACAAAACAGGTGGGCCTCAGTTCATTTCCATAGTCTTCACCACCCAGCTCTCCTTCATCCCTTCACTTTTCTCCCCAAATTTCAAACACCTTCTATCCCACCCTCACAATCAGAGGGCCTTACTAACACCTCATTGAGGAGGGAAGGGACTTCACAGACTACACCACATCACCTGTGTGACAGCCTTACCTCTTGCCACAGGTGAGTGAGCCCTGCTCTGCACAGCCCATGCCTCTTTTTATTCACAAGATACTGTTCCTCGTATTGTCTTAGTTGCTTGGGCTGCTATAACCAAATTCCTTAGACTGAACATGGATGTATTTCTTTTAGTTCTGGAGACTAGGAAATCCAAGATAAAAGTGGCAGCAGATTTAATGTCTGATGGGGACCTGTTCCTCATAGATAGTGTCTTCTTGCTGTGTCCTCACGTGGCAGAAGGGTTAAAAGGGCCAAACAGGCTTCCTCCTACCCCACACCCCTTTTTGAAGTATGGAGGATCAAACACACCACCTCTGGTCAGGCCAGGGAAACGCTCTGCCATTGAGCTACTCCCAAGCTCAGTCTTTATGTTTTATTTGGAGACAGGGTCTTGCTAAGTTGCCCAGGCTGCCCTGGAACTTGAAATCTGCCTGCCTCAATCTCCCCAGTCTTGGGGATTACAGACCTGTGTCACCAACTCATTTATCAAGCCCTTTGATTGCCACAGTCTGGCTGGGCACAATCAGGAGCCACTTGTCAAAAGAAACTAACTTTATTTTTAGAACCACACACGCCAAACAAAACAGCCTCTCAGGAAAAACCCTCAGAGCCTCAACTGCCACCACGGCTTTCCACAAGCCTCTCTCCACCTCCCACAATCCTCCTGCTCTTGAGGCCGATTGGCTGGGTCACGTGGGTGGAGCCAAAAAAGTCCCCCAATGAGCAGCTCCGTGGTCTGAAAGGGCAGGGAAACAGCCCAATGAGCATCACCGCAGAGGAGCCAATCAGCTAGATGTTGCTGGGGCCGCTGTGAGCCAATCATCAGCCGGCAGCTGGTTGCTGGCAGCTGGAAGTTTGCTGGGGCCCCTTCGGCTGTGGCTCTCAACATCTCCCCCTCTCTGTTTAAACAACAAGCATGTGGCTTAGGGACCGTGCCTGCCTTAGGTTGTCCAATAGTACATATGGTCCTTAGGTTGGCCATTGCAATTGGATCTTACCCGTCACTGACTACCGGTCCAGTATACAGCCACACCTGTGGAGAGGTCTTTGTACCAGCGGGGGGGGGGTGAGGTTCTTTGCCTCACCTCTGTTGGCCCCCAAATTTTAGCTGGACGATCATGACAAGCAGAAGGGAGGAAGATACACCAAGCCAATTGACGGCTCCTTTTGGAAAAATTGTACCACCAATGACATCATCAGCAAAAATACCCCAACACTACCACAAGTCACTGCACCAACAGATAGTTCACAATGCATACAGGTGAGTTCACAATGTGTCCAGGCAAGTTCTGCAAGCAGTTCAGTGATGGCTATTGCAGAAGCTGTAGATTGGTTTTATCTTTGACTTCACCAGCACTGGGATGAAGATAGGAATTCTGGCAATAATGGCTAAAGAAAAAATTATGTAACATTACAGAAGGCACTAAAAGAAAACAATTTTCTTAACAATTTACATTGTCTTCACCGGCACTGGGATGAAGATAGGAATTCTGGCAATAATGGCTAAAGAAAAAATTATGTAACATTACAGAAGGCACTAAAAGAAAACAATTTTCTTAACAATTTACATTATCTTTAAGAGAATTATTAAATATAATGAAAAGGAAAGGTGAAAGTAAACAAACAGATCTGTTAACCTTTTTTGTTTACATATTAAAACAATCCTCAACAGTTGTTTACCCAATTTAAATTAAACCATATAAATCACGTGAAAAAAAAATACTTGGATCCATTTTATCATGAGCGCTCATCATATATGATATATGGACATACATACATTCAAACATATAACACAAAACACAAGTGTGCACACATAATATAATACATACAACACATAACATTATAGTAAAGGCCTTATAACTTTTTACAGGTGAAATCTCCATTGCAATGTTTAAAAACTCTATAGTCAAAAAATAGAACTGATCAGCAAAACATTAACCTAGGTCTGTATGAGCTCAAAAAACAAAATAGAACTTCATGATATGGCAAAGGGCAATAATAAAATAGATATTGAAAAAAGCATCCTGGTTCTGTTGCAGATGTAAGAATAGCCAAACTGGAGTTTTGGATATCAGTTGTTATGGATTTGAGCCAAATCATCTTCTTTTTGGTCTGTAGAAATCGCTTTAGTTAATCTTTCTGGAATCCAAATCGGCTGCTGTTCTCCCTGTGGAAACACATAAACAGACCCCCGACTCCAGACAATCACTGGGTCAGGACCTTGGTTAATCTCTCTGGAATCCAAATCGGCTGCTGTTCTCCCTGTGGAAACACACAAACAAACCCCCGACTCCAGACTGGGTCAGGACCTTTCCATTGTCCTGTTAGAATATCCTTCCAAAGTACCTTGGGCTTATGTACGTTTTTTGGACACATATGCCTTTCCGCAGCACTAAGTCCTGATGAATCCAAATTTAAAAAGTTTAGAGTAAAAAGGGTTATTTTAAGTTTATCTTTGGGGAATATATACCCCTTCCCAATTCCTTCTTTTTGCTTTAATAAGTACATTTTAATAGTTTGATGAGCTCTTTCAACTATGCCTTGTCCCTGTGGATTGTATGGGATTCCTGTTATATGAGTAATGCCAAATGTTGAGCAAAATTGTTTAAAAGAGGTAGAAGTATAACCAGGGGCATTATCTGTTTTTAACTGTTTTGGAACACCCACAGTGGCAAAATTTTGTAAGCAATGAGCTATAACATCTTTAGTTTTTTCTCCGGAATGAAGGGAGCCCATCAAAAATCCAGAAGAAGTATCAACTGTAACATGCAAATATTTTAATTTTCCAAATTCTGGCAAGTGTGTGATGTCCATCTGCCAAATATGGTTAGGTATCAATCCTCTAGGATTGACTCCAAGATTAACTTGTGGTAAAAAGGTCACACAATTTTGACATTGTTTTATTATTTGTCTAGCTTGTTCCTTAGTTATTTTAAAATGCTTTTGTAAAGTATTAGCATTGACATGGAACTTTTTATGAAAATTTATAGCTTCTTCTAGTGTAGAGAAAATATGTATGTCATGTGTAGTTTTATCTGCTAAATCATTGCCCAAACTAAGGGCTCCAGGCAATCCTGTATGTGCCCTGATATGTCCTATAAAGAATGGATCTTTTCTGTCCCAGATTAGACTTTGTATAGTGGAAAACAAAGAGAAAACAGTAGAAGAAGGGGAAATCCTACCAGCATCTTCAAGAGATACTATAGCATTAACTACACACTGACTATCAGAAAATAAATTAAATACAGAATCTTTAAACATCACAAAAGCTTGTAAAACTGCATTAAGCTCTACCTTTTGAGCTGATTGTTTGGGTACTAAAAATGTAAAAGTTTGATCAGGGGGAACTACTGCTGCTGTACCATTATTTGACCCATCAGTGAATATATTTGGAGCATTCATGATAGGTGTTTTTCTTGTCATTTTTGGAAAAATTACAGGATGCAATGACCAAAAAGACAATAAAGGATTAGATGGTAAGTGGTTATCAAATGAAACATTAGATTTGCACATGATTATTGCCCAAGTATTTAACTCATTAGCTAACTCATCAATTTGATTCATAGTATATGGAGTAATAATTTTATTGGGAGAAATTCCAAACACTCCCTTTGCTGCTTTTATTCCTTTGAGTATTAATTGTCCTACAGCCTCAGGATACCTAGTCAGAATAGTGTTAGGAGAATAAGATAAATGTATCCATAATAATGGACCTTCTTGCCAAAATACTCCTGTAGGAATATTTTTTGTTGGTAGTACAATAAATAATAAAGGCAAACTTATATCAATTCTATCCAAATGCATATTTTCTATATATGTTTCAATGATTTTTAATGCCTTTCTTGCTTCAGGCGTTAACATTCGGGGTGAATTTGGATCTGATGGACCTTTTAGGATATCAAATAAAGGTCCCAACTCTCCTGTTGGTATACCTAAATAAGGCCTTATCCAATTTATGTCTCCTAATAACTTTTGAAAGTCATTAAGTGATTTGAGTTGATCTACTCGTATTTGAATTTTTGGTGGACGGACCATGGTCGAGGATAATAGAACTCCTAAATAATTAATTGGAAAATTTAATTGTACTTTATCTATTGCTATCTCTAGATTATAATTTTTTAATAAGTTTGTAAGTATGGCATAACATTCTAGCAATGTGTTTTTATCTTTGTGTGCTAATAATACATCATCCATATAGTGAAATATTTGTAGTTCAGGATTTTGATTTCTAAGTGGCTGGAT